TTGATTAAATGCAAGGATCAGATGAAATAAATACACGTGGAATGCATGGGGTGATTTCTCCTCTGCATTTCCTGCTCAAAGCTTGGGCCCACATCCAGCCCAAATCCCTACTGCCATCATGTGGCCATTTTTAAAATAGCAGGTGGGATCCGTGGGTCAGGAGCCGCGGGGATGATTACTTGAGCCGCGGATTGGCATCTGAAGGGGAGGGAGGGAGTCTCGTGAGAACCGAATCCGCGGGATCTGACGTCATCTCCGGGTGGACAGTGCCGGAACTGCGTTGATTTGTAGGAGACTCTACTGGAGTTGTAGAGGACTGCTTGTTGTGAGGAAAATCCACACATTTGGTGACCAGAAGTCTACAAAGTGAAGTGTCATGTGGGGCTAGTGAAGGAAACGCAGGGGAAGAGAGACGCAGTAGGGAGCAGTTGGATGTTCCCTAAATAGTTCGTCTAATTCAGTCCTGTAGCTGGAGAGCTGGGTTTCAGTGTTTGATTAGGGTCAGTTTCAGCCTTTCCGGGCAGCATCGCTTCCTGGAGGGTGCGTTCTCCACATCCTGTCACATCAAGGGCTCTGTGCTGTTTGGTTCCCCTTCCAGGATGGCTGAGGTGGGTCGGGAGGTTCATGTGGGTTCACCCTCAGCCCTCCACTGCGGCCTCATCATTTGGAACCTAAGTATCCCACCCCCAAGAACCCTACTGGTCTTACAATGATTTAATAATTTTATTTCTTCTGTATTTATCAACTAGAATTCTCATCCACAAAGGCTAGTATTTGCTTAAAATATAGTTCATTCTGGAAGAGAAGAATAAATGCTTAATTCTTTCTCCTTATTTATCAACTTTAAGAGTAAGAAACCAGTACAATCCCTACCTCCATTGGTTGAAAATGAGGACTTTCTTTGCTTCTGCTGAGATCCATTATAAATTCCTGGATTTTAAAATAGTCAGTGCATTCCAGTGAGTTACAGTCAATATTCTTTCTGTGGCTTAGGTCAGCAGCGGCAGCTTTAAGCTGGCTCCATTCATTTTGGGCAACTTCCTCATTTGGGCACAATAAGATTTCCCAGGCTCCTCTTGTACCTACTCTGCCCCAGGTCTAAAATGAGCCACATGTCCAAGGAGCCCTGATTCCTCTTCTTGGGGACAGTATTTAGGGACATGTGCACTAGTCAATGGTGGGGCTGAGATTTGAACTCAGGCAGTCTGACTCCAGAGCCAGTCTTAACTGCTCTGCCCTCTGGTTAACAATGGGTATTAATGATAATAACAGTCCTATTTATTATTATTACTCCTACTGCCATAACCAGCCACTCACTATGTGTCAGTCACCTTAGTAGGTGCCTCCCAACATTTAAAAAACACAAAATTATTCTAAAAGCCCTCGGACTCAGGCATTATATTCTTATCTTTAAAAAGAGGAAACTGAAGCTCTGAAAGGTAAATTACTCATTCAAGATCACCTGGTCAGTGGCAGGTGGATGAAAACTGAGGTCTGTGTGAGTCTGAATCTTGTTCCTTTAGTCAACTGAGAATTCTGTCCTGAGTGATTTCCACACTGCCTCCTTCCAGGGGTACCTAGCTCTGCTCCCTTAGCCCCAGGCACTGTCTGTGTCCCAGAGTCCCCAGGCCAGGTGATCCACACATCCTCATTCGAGGCTTGGCAGGAATCCTGGAGGACGAACGGGGGACAGAGAGGAGTGTGATGAAGAGAGACCCCAAAAAGGAAGGTGGGGGGAGGGCCAAGACCTCTCAAGATATAACCAGGCCAGGCCCTACGTTCAGTTGGAAGAAAGTCCCTTGATTAAGGTTGTCAGATTTGGCAAATAAAACTACAAGATGCTCAGTTAAATTTGAATTTCAGATACAGGGAATAATTTTTTAGTCTAAGTATGTCACATGCCATGCTTAGGATCTACTTATATTTAAGCTTCCCTGACCTGATAGCTCAGTTGGTAAAGAACCTGCCTGCAATGCAGGAGACCCCAGTTCAATTCCTGGGTCGGGAAGATCCGCTGGAGAAGGGATAGGCTACCCACCCCAGTATTCTTGGACTTCCCTGTGGCTCGGCTGGTAAAGAATCTGCCTGCAATGTGGGAGACCTGGGTTCTATCCCTGGGTTGGGAAGATCTCCTACAGAAGGGAAAGGCTACCCAACTCCAGTATTCTGGCCTGGAGAATTCCATGGACTGTATAGTCCATGGGGGTCACATAGAGTCAGACACGACAGGGCCACTTTCACTTTCTGTACTTAATCTGGCAGCCCTGTCCTGGATCCTCACAATAGGAGAGTCTACTGAGCACTGACTTGAGTTTTTTGTACAGAACATTTTGTTTTTACTTCTGAATAAGGAAGTACAATCTCTTTATTGATCTAACAGAAGGAGAATGTCTGTGGAACCAGCAGCTTGTTAAAGGAGATTGACTCCCACGGGTGGATAAATATTATGGGGGGAGGGAAGACAGATGCTTTTTTTTTTCTGAGCTCAAAGTGGCTTTCAGAACCTGCTTGTGCCCTCATGTGAACTTTCCTTCCCTGGGCTCAGAGGTGGGCTTGATCTGGTGCTGTTGAAGAGGGTGGGAAGGGAACTGCTCAGCCACGGAGGAGATTTATGGGAATGTGGGCTTATTCCAGTGATTCACTCAGTCATTCAGTCTCACCAAGCAGCTGGTGGCAGGAATTCAGAGATGAATGGCATTGGGTGCCGCCCTGGAGGCTCTTCAGAGCCCGAGAGGTGGATTTGGACCCCAGGGTTCAACATGTGATGCCTGCTTTTAAATCTGTCTTCATAGTTGAATGAAGAGTCCGACTCTTTTCGACCCCATGGACTGTAGCCTGCCAGTCCATGGGATTCTCCAGGCAGGAATACTGGAGTGGGTAGCCATTCCCTTCTCCAGGGGATCTTCCCCATCCAGGGATTGAAGCTGGGTCTCCTGCATGGCAGGCAGTTTCTTTACCATCTGAGCCACCAGGGAAGCCTAGTTGAATGGGAAGTGTGCATTTCTTTCTCTGTCTTCTCTCTCCTCTTCCTTCCCCATTCCTTTTTCTCTTTTCTCATCTCCTCTCTATCCTTTTCTCACCTCCTCAGTACTTTGCCACCTTAAACTGTGTAACCAACTAGTCCCATAAAGGAACAATTACTGGTGCACTCAGACTTGGGATCTGCTCTTGGTCTCATTTTCCTTATCTTCCCAAGCCTATCCTCTCTCCCTGCATCTAGAACTAGGCTGTGCATCCAAGGAAGCCTGGATCCAATGTATCCAGTGCATCCTGGAGGTCATTTACATTCCCTTTTCTGATTGGCTGACACAAACCCACTGCATCCCCTAACCTGCCACTCTCCACCTTCCTTTTGGAGCCCCACCAAGTCCAGCATCCTGGGTATCTTAGATCTCTGCCCTGAGGCCTTGTCTGCTCAGTTATTCCTCCATAAAGTGTCAATGGGTGGTCCCTTCTGGTTTGGGGCTAAAAGATCTAGATTCAAGGCTGGACTTTGCCACTGATGAACTGTGTGATCTTGAATGAGTCCTTTTGCCTCTTTGAGCCTCAGTTCCTACATCTATAAAAGGCAATAATTCTCATGATGAGGGCCTTACAAGAATATGCTGTACTGGTTAATATGGACTCTTAAGCTAGACTGGCCCAGTTAAGTCCTTCCTCTTCCACTTACTAGCAGAATTCCCTAAGTCAGTTAATCTGTATATTTCCCTTTCCTCATTTGATTGGAGTGAGCCTGAAATAAGTCAATATGTGTAAAAAAATCTAGGACAGTGCTTTGTCCTCATAAGTGTCTTTGGCCTCATAAATGTCTTTGTCCTCATAAGTGTCTTTGTCCTCATAAATGTCTTGGGCCTTATAAGTGTCAGCTATTATTATAAAGGATAGTAAAGTCCTCTGTCCAAATGCTGTTAATATCATTACTGCCCAGTGAGTCTTTGGGCATAGACTGGGAAAAATCAATTAAGTACATCTCTGGCTCAATTAAGTACAAACTCTGGTCAGAGTTTCTTTTGAAGAGGGTCCAAAGTAGTGAAGCCTCAACCTCTCTGAGCCTCAGTGTCTTTGTCTTTAAAATGGCAATGGCAGCCTCACTTCTGCCTACTTCAGAGGGAAGCTGTGACTGGCCAATGGTAAACACTTCAAAAAATGATTGCAGGAATGGATGAATGGGCCACATGTGGTGGCAGTGGCAAGCCACAGGGGTCTTCCTGAGCAATATAACTGTGCTGACTTGCTGCCCATGAGACCTAGTGTGAGAGATCCACATCAGAGAGCCTATCCATGAGTGCTGAGTTGAGCACACAGTCTGGGTGATGTGCTGGTCGGCGCTTCATGTTTGGATAACAAGCACTCATACTCGCTTAGTGAGAATATAAATGTATCGGTTCAGCCTTTTTGGAAAGTCATACAGTGCTTGCTATCGTGGTGTCAAAAGAGCACAAAAATTGACTTAGTAGTTCCATTTACAGGAAATTATCCACAGATATTCTGGCTCAGGTATGCCAAGATTTATATAGATAATGTGTTCATTGCAACTGTTTGCAATAATGAAAAACTGGCAACAACCTAAATGGTTGTCAGATGGGCACAGGTAAATAAATTGTCGTACATCTGCATTACGGACTACATAGCTATTAAAAGGAATGAAGTATATCTATATGTATTAACATGGAGAAGTCTCAGGATGTCTGTAGGTAAACAAACAGAAAAATTCAAGTTGACAGAGGTATACATTTAATATAATAACATTTGTGGGGAAAAACCCTGTATTTGCGTTTCTGCACAGGAAATATTTGGAAGGCTATGCTCCAAAGTTAAGATGTTAAATTAGGTTAACCATCCTATGCGAGGAAAGAACTCCTATTTTAAGTCCAGAGGTTCTATTTGTAGCTTGGTCAAGGACTGTGTAACTCAAAGAACCTCTATCCACTTTTTCTGAGCCGAAGCTTTCTCCTGCGTAAACTAATAATGATAATACTTACCTTGCAATGTTGTGATGGAGTGAGATGGAGAAATGGATGTGAAAACCCTGGCTCTGAGCAGGGACAGATCTTTACAGCAATCAGAGAGGGCGACCGAAAGGAGGAGGCATGAGCCTAGACTTGGAAAGGTTTGACAAGGCCTGGATACGGTTTGATTCTAGGCTGTCTTTTTCTAGAATTCAACAGGCATTCATTTAGTAAGGGTACAGTACAAAACCCGCCTGTGAGCTTTTTAACCACACAGGTGCGCACAGATGTGTTGCCTGAGCCTGGCGCTTGAGCAATAAGAGTATCTTTGGCTGCGCTCCGCCCACGTACTGCAACTCCCAGCATGCTCTGCAAACGCGTCGGGCGCGTCGCGGACTGATGACGTAGCTCTGTAGCGCGGGGAATTTCGAGTGGCCGAGGATCGCGGGAGACCAGTGGGTCGTGGACCGCCCCCCGTTTCTTTAGAGGAGACCATGGATTCCCTGGTCGAGTCCCGGTGGCCTCCGGCCTTGGCAGTCATGAAGGTGAGTGCCTTGGGGAGTTCAGGGCCGTCTGGGCGACCGCAGGAGGCCAGCCCCACCTTGAGGAGGAGAAAGAACCGTGCGCCAGCGGCAAGCTGGGCCAGGGTACCCGGCTCTGCCCCGCTGCTTGCCAGCGCGTGACGCTGGGCCTCAGTTTCCTCCTCTGGCAAGTGCCGAGAACAAGCCTCGGTCACTGATAGTGAGCCGAGATTGGCCGTCGTATGGAACGGGATATTCTGCGGTTCAGCCACAACAAACAATGATCTTGAGAGAAACATTACTCCAAACAGTGGAAATGACAGTGACACCTAATCTTTTCTTAGGGCTCACTGCGTGTCAGGCATTATGTAAACTCTCCGAGTACTTTAGTGGAGAATCTCCCACAGTGACACCGGACAGAGTTTGGGTGGATTTTGCATCCAAAAACATTTATTTAATCATCTAGCAAAGCAGGTAGTCTCCTTTACATTTTCTTTCATTTCTTTTAATTACGCTCAAGAAGCCTAGTGCTAATTTGCATTAAGTCCTCCCTAACTGTGTTCTAACTCTTAACTCTTGTGCACCTCTCTCAGACAAATCTGGGTTCTCGTTTAGACTAGCCTTTCATTTTATTGAAGTCTGTTACTATTAAATAACACTGATTTTTGCTCCATGGACAGTAGTGGTGAGTCCTGGATTCCTACAGTGTTTGATCAAGAGCGGATACACTGTGCTGTACTAGCTAAGAATCAGTTGCCTGGTTTTTCTCCTTGTTCTGTGATTATTTCAGTGTGTGACTGAGTAGGAGCACGTTCTCCTTCTGTTGCCCCGTTTTGTTAACTAGGAATTACGCTGTCTGCCCCACTCACTCATAAGATGACTTTGAGGATTAAGTGAAGGGACTTGGAAGAGGTTAATATCTGCTGTCATCGGTGTCATCTGAAGTGCTTGGTGACTTGAGATCTCCCCATAGTGAAAAGCTGACATCGTGGAAGGATTTTGGAAAGCTGTGGTTCTGCATTTGTGGTGGCCTTGGCACCAATGTAAAGTGGAGAAGAGCATTTATTGAGTTCCAGTGTTCTGTGTTAGTCTCTGCCTCCTATTTAACTGTGTGACCTTGATTCAGTTACTTAACTTCGCTGAGCCTGGATTTCTTCAACTATAAACTGAAGACAGAAATAGTTCATATAGTTGGTTAAATGAGTTGATGTGTGTGGGTGGGGATCCTGTTTGGTTTATTCATGGTGCCTAACACAATGCCTGGCACATAGCAGGTGCTCAAAAATTATTTGCTTATCGATTAAAGGTTTTTTTGTTGTTTAGTTGCTAATTCGTATCCGACTCTTTTGTGACTCCATGAGCTGTAGCCAGTCAGGCTCCTCTGTCCATGGGATTTCCCAGGCAAGAATACTGGAGTGGGTTGTTATTTCCTCCTCCAGGGGATTGTCCCAACCCAGGGATTGAGCCCGCGCCTCCTACACTGGCAGGCGGATTCTTTTACCACTGAGCCATCTGGAAAGACCATCTGGAAGGTAGTAAGCATTAAATTAATATATGTTTATTATTACTATCAACACATAGTGTGTTATTTCTCCCCCTGCTTTTTATTTGTTGTCATAAAGATTATAAATTGAATCAGGGAAGTGAAAGCTCTGTAACTTGTAAAGCTACCTGCTTTGTAGATTTAAGCCTATTTTATGTATTCCCACAAACTTCCACAATGTCCTTTAGTGGCGGGTTCCATGTCTCTGGGTTGGCTGTCGCATGACAGCCTGAGTGTAGGATTCAACACCAGAGTGTTCAGTGGTGTAACGGACTGAGCCCGTATTAGAATCATGGAATCTGAAGGTTGAAAAGGCAGCCCCCACCAGTATTCTAATTCCTTTTACAGTGTGTCCACCCATTTCTCTTCTGGTGTTTGCTTGAACTCCTCCAGGGACAAAGAATTAGCTTTTTCCAGAAGTAGCTCTATTTGGAGTTCTTTCTTATAATGAATAGAACTCAGACCCCCAAATCCATAATGCCTAACTGAGGATCCATGGAAAAGTTTTGGTGTTTGGAATTACTGATATATTGTTATGTATGTTTTTTAAGAAGATAATTCATAATTTTCATTTATTTTTCAAAGGGATCTGTGATCCATAAAACTTAAGAACCATTGCTTGAATGATTCAGTCTTCTCACCTGTTCTGTACTTTCCCCTTCTACTTTCTGTAAGTTGAGGAAATCTTAGGGCATCCACTGAACTGGACGTTTGTACAGGAATGTTACAGCTCATCAGATGCAGTGTCACCTTCCACGGATCTTGCTCAGCACATCTGGCAGAACCACTCCTCTAGGAGAGGATGGCAATCGTGAAAGAAGCAAATAGACCAGGTGCCAGGTCTTTGGCTTCTGATCCTGCCTCTGCTCTTCATTGATTTTCAGCACAGTCCTCTAGTTTTTTGCATCAGGGGTAGGTTACCACTCAAAATAATTGTAGATTTGGGCATTTGAATGTTTATTTCCCTGGTTTTACTGTACCAGAAATTTGTTTTTGACAGATTATAGGTGGATGTTTGTAGATAGAAAAAATTAAGATTTAGAGTAGGATAAAGGAGAAAATGAAAGTTATGTAGCATCCTACTATCCAGAGAGAACCGATGTTTAATGTTTTCTTATTGTCCTTCAGTTTTTCTCATGTCTGCTTATGCACACACATACCCACAGTGTGTATCTGTATTTAAAATTTGGAATCACTGTGGAGTCGACTTCTTGGATTTGACTCCATTTGTAATCTCTATAGGCTTCATCTGTAAAATTGGCATACGAATGCTACAGACCTCCTAAGAAAATTAAACTACATAGTTCTGTTGTTATTGTTGTAGATTTGTTCTCTGATTAATCTTTTTGTCAGTACTTTTAAATTTGGGCTTTCCAGGTGGTAAAGAATCCACCTGCTAAGCAGGAGAAGAGGGTTCGATCCTTGGGTCGGGAAGATCCCTTGGAGAAGGAAATGGCAAGCCACTCCAGTATTCTTTTTTTTTTTTTTAACTCCAGTATTCTTGTCTGGGAAATCCCATGGACAGAGGAGCCTGGCGGGCTACAGTTCATGGAGTCACAAAGAAATGGATATGAATTAGCAACTAACAACAACTTTTAAATTGAGGTCAGACACTCACATGTTTCAAAAAGTATGTGAAATAGCAACTTGCCTGGTGGTGGAGCAGTTGAGACTTCACCATGTAGTGCCTTGCGGAAAGGCCTGGACTGACGGGCGGCAGGGAAGCCGGAAGTTTAGTCCTGGTGGACCGACGTGCACTCTGCAGTAGCCTGCTCTAGATACACGTTTACTCGTTTGTGAAACAAGTGTCTTAGTTGGATACTGTCTGATGTTTGTCTGTAGTATTCCTTGATTTGGGGACCTTTCACCCAGCAGTGACTGTAGGCCAGGGAGTGGGGTCTGAAGAGGAGAAGGCTGGGATAGAAGCTGGAAACACGTGGCAAGTGGAACAATAGAGTAGGCCTCTTTTTTGTGAAGGGCTGGCAATATGGAGTGGAAATCTGAATAAGTCATATGGGGGAGGTTTTTCTCTACCTTGCAGTTTACGTGGACTTGACTTTTAAATTTATATCTATGACACAGAAGTAGTATTAAATTATTTTTTTTAGGGGATGGAGAAAGAATTCTGTGGCAGATGCTCCAATTGGCAGATGTTCCCATCTTGGTGACTTTCTGATAGGTATATATGCATTTTTGTATTTCAGACAGTAGATGATTTGCTGCGGTGTGGAATTTGCTTTGAATATTTCAACATTGCAATGATGATTCCTCAGTGTTCACATAACTGTAAGTATGCATTGTTTCTCTGAGTTAGAAAGATGTGATTTTTACATAATGTAGTGTTAATTTGACACCAAAGATAAGTACACATATTTATTTACACCTTTACCCCCTCTGTCTTGAGGTTTTTGGAAGGTCTTTCCACTATCCCTCTTGGATACTTTTATGCCTTTTATAACATTTATGGGAATGAAGATTTTGATCACTATATATGGTTATTTGTCCAGCACTTTTTAGATTTTAAGTTTCATAATTTTTGTTTTTGACAGGGTAAGAGATAGGTGGTTCAATCAACTAGTCCTTGGTGTAGAATTGTAAAGTTTAAAAATCCTCGTGGACGAGTTCTCCCACTGAAGACTATTACAGACAGTTTTATCACTTAACTTGCTTTGTGATGGTGGAAAGACTCACATATTGAAATGTGTCTGTACTTCACTTTGTGAGTCCAGTATGTACATACACATTTTTATACTGTAGTTTGACGTATTTAGTACACAGGGGTGCACCTGTCCTTGTTCAGTATCTGGCTGTCAGTTTATGGCTTATCTAGGCTTATGATCTTTCTTATTCTCTATCTTTGAGTTGATTTGTGTTGGAAAGTTAAAAAAAAATTTAGGCTTTAGTGGGTAATAGTAGCTTTGGTGAAAAAGTTTCCATAAAGAAGACATATAGTAGCAACATGGGCATGAGAGATAAGCTAAGGTTGACATAGCTCTTCACTTACTAGGTGGGTGAGTTTGCAAAGGCCCATCATTTCTTCAAATGTGAAATTCTAGAGAGTAGTTTCTGCCTTAGGAGATGGTTGCGAGAGTCAGATGTAGTGAGTTCAAGGTCTGGCACATTATAGGGCCTGAGTAAGTCTTAGTTTCCTTTTAGGGTAGATTCATATTAGGAACCAACAGAAGTTTTGGGGATTGTTTCTAAATCTGTGTTAAAAGCTTCTTGATTAAGATATAATTTACATGTAACGAAAGGCATCCATTTCAAGTGCGCAGTAAAGTGTACAAGTGTCAGTAAGTTTTAACAAATGTTTATACCATATAACAATTATGGTTAAGCTTGAACATTTCTATCACTGGATAGAGTTCTCTCCATGTCAGTCAATATGGCCCCAGGGAATTTACATATGAGTCTGTTTCTAGATTCTCTGTTCTGTTGTTCTTTATGTCTATATCCTTCACACTGTCTTAATTATTGTAGCCTTTTTAGTAAGTCTTCAAGTCAGGTTTTGTCGCTACTCCAACTTTGTTTTTCTTTATCAACATTGTTTTGGTTCTTTTAGGATCTTTGCATTTTGTATGTATTTTCATATAAATTTTAGAATCAGATTGTCAGTTTCTTTCCAAAAAAAAAGCCTGCTGGGATGTTTACTGGGATTGCACTAAATCTAGAGATCAGTTTGAGGACAATTAACATCTTAACAGTGTTGTCTTCAATATATAATCTTTTGCTTCTTATATCTGTGGTACTGCACAACCTCTGTCTTTTGTTGTGCCCAGCTGTCTTTTGTTCCTCATGGCCCCCAGGCACCCATCAGCACTCTTGAGTCAGGCAAAGTAGAAGCAGCCCCTCAGCTTCTGGAGAAGCTGAGATACTGGTCGCATCCTTCTCTCTTCTCTTGCTCGCCAAAGGGGAAGCTGCTGAGCTGTACGTACCTCCATCTGTACTGCGGGTCCTCTGGAGCAGTGGCCCTGCTCTTCTCTGTTCTCATTAGTCTCCCAGCTTCTAGAGTAAGTCTGTTCAGTGCTATGGGTTGGGTGAGATAGAAACAAATCTCTTAGGTAGCCTGCTGAAAAGTGGGAATGTTGGATGCATGTTCTTCCCTAAAGAGAAGCTAAGAGGTGGGCATTCCTCCTGTTTACTCCCAGGGGAGGAGTAATGGTGAATGATTGGGTCCTCATCCAAACCTTTGTTCTCAGTGACTCCAACCTGATTCCTTTTCTTATCAGTGCTTTGATTCAGGCATGCTGCCCCAGGCATGTTCAGTTCCTGGGGCAGCCCCATGAGAAGTCTGAACTTTTCATCTGTGATTGAGTCTTCTGTCTCTCCTTCCCCTGGGGAAAGCTGGGAGTTATGAGTCTCTCTCTGATTATGTGGTGCTGAGCCAGGGATAGGAACTCTGGCAAGTGAGGGCCACATATTTCCTACCAGCTTTGATGTGGCTGATTTTGTGCTTGTCTTGGGGTATGTGAGCATCTGAACTGGTATCCGTATTTCTCACAAAGGAAGTTGGTTCATGTCTTGTTGATTTGTGTTACCGTGGGGAAAGCCCCGGCTGGCTTCCTGTTCTGCCATCTTTCTGACATCACCCACTCACTCTGGCTAATCTACTGTCATACTAAGGTATGGTGTGCCCTGGGGTGTCTACTCAATGCCCAAGTGTTTAGTAAGGTTTCTCCAAACTGGATGCTGGAAATTTTATGAACTCTTGGCCCTTTGTTACCACTCCAGTTTTGGTTCTTTCCCTGGAAGTTGATCTTTATCTGGCCTCATGGATCCCTGTATATGTGCAGATTTAAGTTCAGTCATAGAATTGAGTAGATACGTATGCATGTTTCTGGAGGTCTTCACATATGTGGAGCTTCTTTCTTTTTGGTACTCTGCTGTGTGAATTATAGCTGTGTGGATTGCCCTGAACTCTGATCTTTGTTTTCTCAACTAGCAAGACTGATGGGCCTTTGGCTTTCCTTCCTGTGCTATGGTCAAGAAATTGCACATGGGCAGGTATCTTGGGCTGTGGTAGAACTTCTCTCATTTCTATAGTTGTGCAAAGTCTGAAAATAGAGAGCTTTTTTCATATTTCCCCTCAGTGTTTTAGTTGTTTGTAGGAGAGTAACTTTGAATATTGGTTACTTTCTGTTGGACAAACATGGAAGTCTACTCTGTAGATTTTAATTATGTCATTTTAGGGAAGAAAGATGACTTTTTAAATTAATTTCGTGAACCCTACTTAGCTGAAAAATTGGTCTTTACTTCCATTCTCTTTTTTTCTTGTTTCTTTGTCACATACAATTATCACTGATGTCATTGTTCATCTAAGAAATCGGTGGAGAGTACTTCCAGTAATGATAATTTATTTTACGAGTAGTTATTTTTCATATCCTACCTGTCATGATTCAGTACACTTTTCTACTAATCACCCATTGTCACAGGTTCCCTCAAGACTAAAAGTTGCTCTGGGTCTATAATTGCGTCAATGACACAAAAGCCCCCAGAGCTTAGTAGGAGCGAGAATTAGCTGTCATATTCTGCTGTCATCCTGGATTGACTGGAATTAGTGACCCAGAATCCTAGCCACTTTGCTCGTCCTTAAACATGTCAGGATTTGTCTTTTTACATTCCTTTATTCTGTTTTCCTATGTTTAGATTTTTCAGTATGGGTAACAAACACTACATTTGCATATCTGCTGCTATTAAGGTTTGAGTGAGGTGCAGTGGCAGAATGTGAGGCAATTAAATTGATCCAAATTCATGTTGTTAAAGACTACTTTTGTGGGGAGAGGGCCTGAGCTTACTCCCATCCATGAAACACCATTAAGTGAGAAATGTTCTCACTAATAGATTGATCTGCCAGTTTGCTTTGCATTTGTGCAGTTTTTCTGCCTAGATAGTGGGAGATGCTCAAGTATTTACTGCTCGATGAAATTATTGGTTTTTAGGTACTATTAAATTACCACTATTTTAGAGATGAACCAGAAGTCATTTTTCTTTTCCTTTTGTGAATTTTGACCACTAAATTAATTGAGGCTTATACTGGAATAAAAAGTAATTTAATTTTACTAAAAAAAAAAGAAATGTGAAGTGTTCCATTTATTGACATTTGCTCAACTAAGAGGCAGTGTAATATTCTTTCAGACAAATAATCAGACAAATAATCAGTGTTATTCTTCTTTTTCATTCTTATGAGGCAGCATTGTGAAACAAGACAGGGAAGAAGAGAGAGTTATTATATACGGAAAGAACATGCAGTTATGCAGAACCGCACTTACAGAAATGCTGGAGTGCTGGTCGATAGTTGAAAGGAGGTTATTCTCTTATTAGCTGACTGGTCACTAAACACTGGAATTGGAGGCAGAGGCCAGCTTTCCTCAGCTTTGAAAGGATCTCCTAATTCCTTTCAAACTTGGAACTGGATTTTCTCTTTTTTAATTGGATACTTCAGAATTATTTTTGAGATGGTTTATTTTCTCATAAAATCCTTAAGATCACATGCCAAAAGGTTTGGTTTAAGTTTTAGCAACTTGATTTTTACTGTCAGGATGCTACGCTCTTCTGATACATAAAAGCCGGTAGATGGCTGTATCCTGTTGGAGATGAGAAATACCTCCTTCCCTGGGCTTGCTTGTTTCTATGAAGCTACCCTTTATTTCTTTGTTTTACTCTTCCTTCCCCCACCCTATACACATGGCTCATAGTTGAGCTTTGTGGGTGGAAAAACAGACTTCACAGGTGATTTAAATAAAGCCACGTAGGAATACATGGTTCGAAGGTCTTCGCTGCTCTACTTTGAAATATGGTTGCTCGCTGGAGAATAAATTATGCTGGTCTGCAGTTCACCAGCACATATTTGGTAGTTGACTGGGAAATTGAAAGTAAGCCAAGGGCTTGATCTGCTTTGGACTAGTGTCTTGTCTCCATATTTCAGAAGAAAACACAGATCAGGTTATGCAGAAGAGGAAGCAGTGGGCTCATTTTACATACCCTAGTAGTGTGGAGGTACTGATTAGATACTTATTGATACTATATAGGTATATATAATAAGTATGTGTTATAAGCAGATTATAATATTTTAAATAATTAGTCAGAAGTGTGTTAAAAGCATGGACTCTGGTACTTCCCTTTGCCACCTATTAACTCCATGATCACAGGCAAGTTGACTAAACTCTATGCTGTGTTTTCCTTCTCATAAAATGGGATTCAGAGCTGCTGTAAGGATTGAAAGTGTTCATACATCTACCATGCTTAAAACAGAGCACGCAGTAAGTGCACAATATTATGTTAATGAAATTGCCAATATTTGTCTCTTTTTTTTTGACTTACCATAAAGTTTCTTATGGTTTAACTTAGTAACAAAAACATATTAATTAAAAAAAATAATTGTTATTCAATCAGAATCACATATTATGGATATGATTTATTGGTCACAGTTCATTGGTTCAGTAGGACTGGGGGTAGAGTCTGTTAGACCACTTCACTAAGGTGTGTGTGTGTTAGTCACTCAGTCATGCCTGACTCTTTGCAACTCCATGGACTGTAGCCCGCCAGGCTCCTCTGTCCATGGGATTTTCGAGGCAAGAATACTGGAGTGGGTTGCATTCCCTTCTCCAGGGGATCTTCCCGACCCAGGGATTGAACCTGGGTGTCCTGCATTGCAGGCAAATTCTTTACTGTCTGAGCCACTGTGGATCCCCTTCACTAAAGTGAATTTGTGCTAATAGCACATTAGCTACTAGTACAGCACCATTCTGTTTGTCAGATTTGGGGAGACCATTTTACACTGCCTTGGGTGTGCAGAATTTAGTTCATGCCAATTTCTACTTATTGTTAAACCTTAGTACATTGTCCTTAATGCACTGAATTATATGTAATTGCCTCACTGCTTTCCTTGAGGTCAAGAACCTTTCCTTATAACAGCGCTTGCTACAAAAATATTTGTTAAATGCAGGATGAAGGACGTTATTTACAGAGTTAGGATGTAGAAATCCCTAATTTGTTAATCTGGTATATATTATTTCCTAACACACATATAGATCTTGTTTCAAAATTTATATTTTAGAATGCTTGGCAGTGGAGATATCTGACGTGTTTATATAAAACTATCCTAGTTCTTACTTTATGTTTCCTTCATTTTACAGATGGAAGATACAGAGAAAGATACATATTGCTTATAGAGTTGTGATGTGCTAGGGACTCAGGATTACTATTATTTGATATGTATCGCTTTCTTAAGAATGCTACTAAATCATATTTGCAACTTTGTATAGTTAGAGTCCATGTACTAGAATTTTAAGATTATAATGATAGACCTTAGATGGTGGAAATATTCTAGGGCTTAAAATAACTTGTTAGAAGTTAGGTTCCAATATTATTATACAACTTAACTATTTGACTATGTTGCATTTGATTTTTTTGCAGACTGTTCTCTTTGTATAAGAAAATTTCTGTCCTATAAAACACAATGTCCAACTTGTTGTGTGGTGAGTTTTTTTCTTTTCCTTTTTTCCTTTAAAGCTAACTAATTGGTGCAGATATTTCTGCTTTATGTATACACATACGCCTTGGGAAGATGCATGATTATTGAATTAAGCTATTTCAAAAACATTTTCAGAAAAGACTTCTAAAATACATATATGGAGAACTGGGCTTTGTTCAACTGTTTGTTAAGATTTCTGATTACCTAAATGTTTTTTAGAAAGGAAAAGCTAGTGTTAAGATCAAGGATATAGCACACTTTAAATCTTATGCACTATGTTTTTTATGACTCCTCATTTTTTAAAATTTCTCAACTTGGGTAGAAAATCTGATGGAAAGATCATTTATTTGCAAAAGATTGATATTTTAGTATTTGTGCAGCAGGCAAAGATTCAGTTTAACTGGCCCTTTACCTCTTGCCCAAATCAGACCTTCAGGGAGAACACCAAAAAATTTGTTTTAAGTTTTCGAAATATTTCATGTAGTTGAAATAGGTGAAAAGGTAGGTAAAAAGGGAAAGGAAATGGAGGAAGTAAAGAAAGAAAAAGAAGTGGTAGGATCTGGTGGAAAGGACACTGGGGCTAGTTAAAGGGTTTCGGTTCTAGTTTGGGAGGTTGTTGGTGTCAGGATGTCATTGAATTCACTCTGCTTTCAAGTCTAAGCTCTACAACAACTAGGGACGCTGCTGTCCTCAAGGTGGTATCATCACAGAGATTAACTGTATGCAAAATGTTCATGCTGTTCATTCTTCATGCTATTCATTCTTCATGCTAAATAACTACCAGGTTTATTGTTTTCCTCTTGCATTCCTGAACACCGGTCTTGTTTTTAAAGTTGCTTTGAGCATCTCAGGCTCCTCCCGCATTACTGCGTAAAAGAGCATCTCTGTTCTTTGAAGGAGAAATTTTGAGGGAAACTGTGCTGCCATTTTGAAGGATTCTTGCTCATATTAGGTTTTATTTTAGACTGTACAAAGGGCATATGTTTTTACCAGATGCTTTGGAGAGTTTTGAATCAGACTTCCAGTCAGCAGATAGTGATTCACTGTTTTAAAATTCCATATTAGTATGAGATAAATGAACTTTATTTTGAGGCTTTCCTGGAAGACTTAGTGGGATGGGGAGTCTCAGGAGGATGGGGCACACATTTTCAAAAATGAGATTATGACAAGTTAATTATTGTTGCTGACCTTTTCCCATCTGTTGTTTTTCTTTTCTAGACAGTCACAGAGCCGGACCTGAAAAATAACCGTGTTTTAGATGAACTGGTAAAAAGCTTGAATTTTGCACGGTATGATTTAATTTTGTGACTAATCCCTAACTGTTTTTGCCTTTGATATGTGTTCCCCCCTTTACTCTGAACTTTTGAGAGTTAGGGAATGCAGTGTTGCATATTTGGGGTAAAAGAAAGGATGCGACCACAGGCGTTAATCACATGTGAACAATCTGATCGTAATAAGAGTCTTTTTCTTCACTTAACAGAAAATCTCCTGTATGAAAAACAAGTTAGAATGTAAATTTGGGAACTTACTTTTGAATAGTTGAGAAATACTTCAGCTTCATCTTTTGTTTTTCCTGCCCAGCATTAGCATCAGCCATGTTCCCAAGGAGCCCTGGTTCCTTTCATTGGGGAATGGTATTTAGAAATCAGGATCTGGAGCTGGGTATGCTCATTATTATTGGGGTGTCATTGCTTCTAAACCCTCTCAGTGGACAGAACTGTGTTGCACACGCATGTGCATGTATACACACACATGTATTACGGTTTCTGTGTCTGTTATATATTAATCCACTCATTCTTACTCTGATTTGCTCAGCATGTATAAAATGATATGTAACGTGAAATATGTAATTCCTGGTGCTTTATGACGTGTAGTTTTACTTCTTAACTGTCAAGTGTGTGATGGTATTAAGTGAGTGAGCAGTCACCTAGAGGGATTTAAAAAGATATGTTCTATCAGACAATATGTTGACTTATTTTTAGTTTTAATCATGCAAGCCAAGCAAGAATTTTTAGTAGGAATGTACTGTGTTTAGTTAATGGCTAGGTGGCTACATACTTAAGTGCAGCGACTTCCAAACTTGTTGGAATATTCTTAGAAGTACATTACATTGCTCCCAAAATTGTAAAGAAATTTCTTCCAATAGAATTGCAAGTTTATTCACTGGTTTGCATGCTAAAGGTGATCAGATTTACTCCTTTGAACTTGCCTAATGTGGCATTCTAGAAATTGGTTGGTTATTACCTTAAGCAAAGTCATGAGAAGGTGGTATACTTTCCTAGATTAAGACACTCTGAGAGTCTCTGATGCTCATAATTAAAGTGATAGCTTTTCTCCTTTTTATTTATTTATCTTAAGCTGTGCTGGGTCTTCGTTGCTGCACAGGCTTTCTCTAGTTGTGATGAGTGGGGGCTACTCTCTGGGTGCAGTGCGTGGGCTTCTCATTGTGATGGCTTCTCTCATTGTGGAGCACTGGCTCATTGGGTGCACAGTCTTCAGCATTTGTGGCACAGGAGCTTAATAATTGCAGTTCCGGGACTCTCGAGCACAGGTTTACTAGTGTGGTGCATGGGCTTAGTTGCTCCACAGCATGTGGGATATTCCTGGACCAAGAACTGAACTCATGTCTCCTGCGTTGGCAGTCAGATTCTTTGAAATAAGAAAAGCAGGACTTCCTGGATGGCTCAGTTAGATTTTGAAGTCCATGAGAAAAGATGGAGCTGTATATTTAGAAAGGAACTGATTGGGGATTAAGAAAAAAAAGGAACTGATGGACTCTTTGCTTTTCTCTGATATGGTAAAACTGTATCTCATGGCTGCTTTTTTTCCTCAGAACAGCATCTGTTGAAGAGAAGTTATCGGTATCTTTGGGTTCATAGATCCTTTGGTAACTTAAAGGGAAGCCTTGGAATGATTGCAGTCTCTTCTCTCCCCCTCGAAGAAACAGGGTATTTAAGTATTATATATAAGTATAAAGAATTATAGTGGGTTTGGTGAGGTAGGAAGCCTTGTCTGTAGATTTGGGATGGATTTTATAATTTGCTTCTCTGTCTGCCTTGGAATTGCCTCATGGTGAACATTTCTTGGATATTTGTCATATCTAAAGTGCTGTGGTACTTCATTTGCAAAATTAATAGAGATAAAATTCAAGCGATTCAGTTTCATTACTTTTTTGAAATCTGGGTTAAGATCAGTGAGGGAGGAAGTTTAATTTTATGAATAAAATAAGATATTTATAGTTTGTTAATTTTATTTCTTCCTATCTTTCCCATCTGTCATTGCCATTTTATGATACTATGATTTTTTAAAATGTAATCTTCTAAACCAAATACCAAAAGAGTATTGGAAATAATTCCAGAGGTTTTTGGGAACAGGGCTGACGTGCAGATCTTATATTTTCTTCTTTCAACTTTTATTTTCAAGGAACAAGTTTGTCCCCCCCCCCCACTCAGTTTTATTTAAAATAATGTTCTTAAGAAACTATTGTGTTTATATATAACATTTATGATATATTTATTAGATTTTTAAATACAGATTTAGAATGTATTTATTTGGAAATTTATTTAGAATGTTGTTGTCTAAGTGGAACTTTATTCTTGACCTAAGTAAGAAAATGTTGTTTTTGTATTTTTGCATAGCAGCCAGTTTGCATGTGTATTATAATTTTTACAACTTCAGCATGTAGAGCATCATTTATTGCTTTGGTTTATACATTGATGAGGTATGAATTTTTCTCCAGGTGCTTATTTCAAGTTTAAAAAATTTAAACAAAGAGGATGTAGAATATAATTTCACCTTCCCTTATAGCATAGTTTAAAGCAGACTGGGTTTGGGTTCAGGCAAAACTAGGTTTCCATCTTGACCCTACTTGATTTCTTTTTTAAATTTAATTTTATTTGTAACTGGAGGATAATTACAATATTGTGATGGTTGCTGCTGTACATCAGCACAGACTTCAGACCCTACTAGTTTTGATATGAGTGTGATCAAGATATTAATCCTTTTTAGCTTCTTTTCCACATTGAAAGATGGGAATAATATTGTGGACATGGATAAGGATTAGACATGAAGAGATATATTAAAAGATACCCAGAATAGTACTGTATCTGGAACAGAGGAACCTAAGAAAATGTTCCTATCATTACTGCCCTATATATTTTATGTATTTATGTTGTATTGCTCTGATACATGTATGTGCATGCCCTGTGGAGCTGATGAGAACTTATGCTTGGTGGGCCTCTGCCTGTTTAACCAAATGGTCCCAGGTTGCATGTCCTGGGTTATAACAAGTATTTGCAGGTACTTTGACTAGTTACCAAAGTTCATGGACTTGATTGCATGGGTTTTATGACTGCCCATGTTTACCCAGAGACCTGTTTTCACTTTTGATTCTTAACCACATTTTGAAAAGGTGAAGTTATTGTATAGTTAACTAATGGGCAAGATTTTCCTATATTTTATTGAGTCACAATTATTTTGAAAGTCCAGTTCATCCAGTTTGAATGTCTGTGATGAATGCTGTGAGGTGTTGTAATGCCAACTCAGTTTAATATATAGGAGTGATGGAAATTGAAGGAAAGATTAGCAATTCAACTTTAAGTGTCAGTTTTGCAATTAATATTTTCACACAGCTCATTTTTAAGTTATGTAAGTTGCCATAAACAGTCTCATGGTTATAAATACCAATTATTACCTTCATGGCTTCCAGATTTATGGCTGGAAGCAATGAATGGCTTCTCAGCTAGATTTGTTTCCAAGATATCAGCCTCATGTATCCAACTGCTTGTCTCACTCACCTCTGCTTGGACCTCTTAAAACCAAAACTAAACTCTGGTTCCCTCTGCTGCACCCCCAAACCCCACTCCCAATCTGCTGCTCTGCAGTCTCCCTTCACTTAGTAAGTGGCAGCTCCCTTCTTTTGCTCAGGCCAAAACCCTTAAAGGCATTTTTGCCCCCTCTCTTTCACACTCACTCTGTTGTTCCATCAGTAAATCCCATTGGCTTTGTCTTTGCTGTCCCTGCGGAATCTGACAAGGGCAGCAACCTAAGTGATCCTTGAAGATAAAAAGTAGGTCATACTGCATGTTGTTCAGAGGTGGTTTCCTGTCTCACTGGAGTGAAACCCGTTTGTCTCTGTGGGAGTCCTCCCAGCCCTGGGCAGGCTCCCTGACTTATTCACCGCTGCTTCCCCTTGGGTCATTCTGCTCCAGTCACAGTGACCTCTCTCTGCTTCTCAAAGTGCTAACCACACACTGATCTTAGAGACTTTGTACTTACAAAGTGAAACAGTGTTTCCCTAGATGTTCACATCCTTTAATTCTCCACTTTCTTTGGACTCTGTTTTTCATAGGCATCTTCTCAGTGAGATCTGGGACCATCCTGTAGAGTTTCGCCCCCTCCTCATTGTTCGCTTCCTCCCCCCCCCCCCCCCACAGTACTTTTTACCTATGTTGAGAGTGTCTCTTCTCTGTTCCTTTACCATAGTGTAAGATTCATAAGGATAGAAACTGTTCTGTTCTCTGTGATATTTCCCCTGCTGAAATTAGCAGGAACATGGAAAAATTAATGAATATTGATTTTAACATGAGGTGTAACATTATTATTGCCATGGTGCAACTCTCTGCCACGTTCTTTTTTGGCATGTGTTGAAGTAAGAGAGCAAATTGGAAGAGTAAGATGCATCTGGATTGTGAATAAAAATAAAAAGGAGTTCTCTCTAGGATAGACACTTTGCTGAAAGGTGTACCCTTGTAGTAGCTTGGAAGTGATTTATCAATGACAGTTTTATCCAGCAGTTGAATAGTGTGCCTTTTACTTTGTTATAATGAGATGAAAGCTTTTCTGAGAACCTTCTTTGAACCAAACCCAGATCCTAGAAGAGAAAGACTTGTAACGATTGCAGTTCTTTATTTTTACTTTATTTCTGTTTCCTCACAAAGATGTATTTTCTTTGTAGGAAAGTTTTTAATTACATCTGAATCTCTTTAATATATAATACTACTCTTCAAGTTTCTGTTTTTCCTTTGTTGGCTTTGATGAGTAGTCTTTTTGAAAGAATTTGTCCATTTCATCTAAAATTATAACTTTATTGGTATAAAGTATCTATAATATCCTCTTATTATCTTTGAATTTCTGTGAGGATTTTAGTGATATCTCCTTTTAACTCTGTGTTTTGTATTTTCACTCATCTTTCTTGCTTGTTCTTGGTAGGGCTTTCCTGATTTTGTTCATTTTTTCACAGAACCAGCTCTTGGCTTTACTAATTTTCTTTTGTATGTTTACTTTTTCACTAGTATCTGTTATTACTATCTTCTTTGGGTGTAATTTGCTGTTAATTTCCTAACCTTTTATATTGGAAATTTAGGACATTGATTTTCAGTTTTTCTATTAACTTATAAATTGTTCACTAATGAACTGTTTTGGTGAACCCCAAAGCTGTTGTTCAATTCAGAATATTTTCTGATCTTCATTGTTGTTTGACTTAGGGAATTATTTAGAAGTGTGGTGCTTCATTTCTTAACATTTGGAGATTTTGTAGTTATTTTTCCGTTATTGAGTTTCATGTGAATTCACAGTGGTCATAGAAGATATACTGAATTATTTCCTTCCTTGTCAATTTCTTGAGACATTTCCTACTTTTGGCCCAGAACATGGTCTGTGCTAATGAATATGCCATGTATACTTGAAAATATTGTATATTCTCCATTGGTGAGATGCAGTGTTTTTAATTTGTTAATTGTATCAATTTGGTTAATTGGATTGGTTCAGATCTTCTGTATTCTTACTGATTCTTATCTGCTTTGTTAGAGTGGTATGTTTAAATGCATATTCACTTTTATTTAAACCAATTTTGGTGAACTGGCTATATCTCTTTTTAGTTCTGTCAATTTTTGCTTTATACATTTGAAACTATGCTATGAAATGAATAAAGTTTATGATTTTATGGCTTCTAATTAAATTTATGATTTTTTCAAAGTGAGATGCACCTCTTTCTCAATGCTTTTGCCTTAAGATCTGTTTTGTCTGTTGTTAGTGTTGTCACATTGACTTTCTTTTGGTTTGTATTTATTTACGTGGTATGTCTTTTCTCATCCTTTTTCCCCTAATCTTTCTGCATCTTAATATGGTTTCTTTTAAATAGTATAATAGTTGCATTTTATTTTATTTTTTAATCTAGTCTGACAAGTTTTGTCCTTCAGTTAGAGTATGTATCATTGTATTTAATTGGTTAGAATAATATTTTTGCATTATTTAATTCCTCTTTTTTACTGTTTTGAGTTATTTTACTTCCGTATATGTTATAAATTCCCTAAGACATTGCTAGGGATGTCAATACTGTTGTATTTAGCCACATACTTTCTTTTTCTGGGGTTGATGATTCTTGTTGACACTTTATATGCTTCTATCTATAATCATTTTCTCTACCCTCAAGAACAGTTGTTACAGTATTTCTTGTCTGCTGATAAGGAATTCTTATAGTTTTTGTTTGCTTGAGAGTGTATTTTGCTTTCATTCTGGAAGAATATTTTCAATAGGAATAGGATTCAGTTTGTTTTTTAACCTGTACTTTTAAGATGTCATTCTGTTATCTTCTTTCTTCTATAGTCTTTGCTGACAAGTCAGTGATATTTCTTACTGTTATTTCCTTAGAGCCATTGTTCTTAAGTGGGAGTGATTTTGCTTTCTTTACCTCCTTCTCCAGGAAACATTTGGTAATGTCTGAACATGTTTTGGTTGTCCTAGTCTGAGGTTAGGGGTGTTATGCTGTTGACATTTCTGTAAGGCACAGAACAGTCTCTACAGCAAAATGTTATTCGACTCAGTGTTGGTAATGCCAAGGTTGAGGAACTGTGCCTTAGAGGTAGTATATCTTATTTTTCTCTGGTCGTTTAAAAGATTTTCTCTGTCCATGGCTGATTCATGTCAATGTATGACAAAAACCACTACAATATTGTGAAGTAATTAGCCTCCAACTAATAAAAATAAATGAAAAAAATTTTTTTTCTCTGTATTTTTTTCAGTAGTTTGGTTATGTTTTGCCTAGATTTCATTTCCTTTGTTTATCCTTTGGGGATGGATTTTAATTCCCTCTTAAGTATACGTTATTTTATTTATTTGTCTATTTTTTCTTTTTTCGTTAACATATTGGTCATAGTTCTTCTGAAATTCTTCTAATGCTACTCAGATCACTTCTGGATCTGCTTCTAATGACTTTTTTGTCTCTTGATTAGTGGCTAATGTCTTTTTTGCATGCCTAGTGATTTTTAAATGTGTGTTGAATATTATGAATGAAATGTTATAGAGGCTGTGAATTGTCTTCCTTTGAAAGATGTTGAATTTTGTTCTGACAGGCAGTTAAATTCCTAGGTCCTCACTTATTCCATCAAGGCCTGGTTTGATTTCTGTTAGATTTGCTCTGCTTCACTTTTCTTTTTCTAGAGGAGGATCCTTCTTAAGGTGTAGCCTTTGTGGGGTTTCAGCTGAGTGTCTAGAATCTTTACCAGAGTCTCTCAACTTTGGCCAGGCTCACATTCCAACAGTTTCCCTGCACTGAGCTTTAGACTCTCAGCTTCACGACATCTTCCTGTCCGGTGTTCTGTGACTTTGTCTTACGCTTCTGCAGCCCCGGAGATGACCAGTAATTGAGGAGCATTTCTCAGCAGATTTTTAGGGTGTTTGTGGCTACTCTCTGCTCAGCACCCTGTGCCTCCAGTCCTAGCAGCCTTTGCCCAGAGCTCTAATCTGTTCTCTCTACCCAGAGAGATCACTGGTCCCTGTTTTGACTTTAATACCCCACTCCCAGAGCACGCTTCCATGGGAGATTCTTGTGGAAATGTTGGATCACCTCAAGTTTCCCTTCTGTCTCAGGGATAGTTGCCTTGTGTTGATTATAGATCATGCTTATAAATGGTTTTGTATGTTTTGTTGAGATTTTAAAGTTATTTGTGGTTGGAGAGTAAGTCTCATATAAGCTATTCTCCATGGCCAGAATCTCAGGTCCCTTTGTTATCTTTTATAGACAGATTAACTGCTTTTAAAGTCAGATTTATTGCTTTGTATTTTATTCTAGAAGAAACACTGGTCGCCATTGTGCAGTGAGTTCTGTATTTCACAGAAACAAATGTTAATTGAGAAAACAGCTTATGTCAGTTGTGTATATGTAAGCTGACATCTTTATTATCTGTTGTGTTTCTGTGCTTCAAGGAATCATCTGTTGCAGTTTGCCTTAGAGTCACCACCCACATCTGCTGCTTCCTCCTCTTCAAAGAATCTGGCTATCAAAACACACACCGCTGTAGCCTTCAGACATTCATTAAAACAAGGAAGCAAGTTAATGGAGAATTTCTTGATCAGAGAAACTGGTGGTTCTGCGTCAGAGTTGTTGATAAAAGAGAGTGAAAGCAAATCCAGCCCTCAGAAAAAGCTGAGCTCTCCTGCGAAGACCAGAGGGATACCTTCTGCAGAAAAGTCAGCTCCAGGTTCCTCAGAGGATTGTGTTCCTGAGACACCCTCTACATCAGCCTTGAAACAAGTTACTAAAGGTAGGAAATTAGCTTCACATGTTTTGTTTTCTTAGTGGAAACCTTCTCATCCCACATGACATAATAAATAAGGAGGATTTTTTTCGGGGAAAGGATGGGAAAGTGTAGTCCAGCTCTTACCTCATAACAGCCTTGCATGTGGATGGAGACAGTGCTTCCATATACATTCTCTTTCTCCTCATAAAATAGGAATTCAGGCTGATGGCAGGAAAAACTAAGCATTTTTAGTTAGTTTATGGTTCACATATGGCATAGCTTTTCTGTTTTTCAGCTTTTCTTCCCCCCCTCATCCTTCATATCAGCTCCAGTTTCATATTGAAGAGCTCTTTCTGTCTTATTATATCATCATTTGAATACTTCCAAGCTGTTTTGACTGGCATTTACAGCCTTGGACAGTTTGACTGCTACCCTACCTGTCCATCCTTGTTTCTCATCTCTTCCTCTCAAAAATCCTTCTGCTCTAGCCAAGCTGATCTCCCCTTTATTCCTTGAAAACACTCAGGGATTAAAAACCTATAGCCTGTCACCTGTTTTTATAAACAAGGCCTAACTGGAACACAACCATGCCCATTTGTTTATCTGTCATCTACGGCTGCTTTCATGCTAATAACTTAGTTTGTTGATTGTGATAGAGGCCATCTGGCCCCCAAAGGCCTGAAATCTTTGTTACCTGAGCCTTAACTGAACATGTCTGCTAACCCCATTCCACCTTTCCAGACTCTTATCTAGGTCGAACCAGTCTTCAGTTATGTTATATAGTATCGGTCTCTCACATCACTAAAGCGTGGCAGGACTTGTTTTCTGGACAGTTTGCTTAGCTTTTTGATGACTAGGTCAACTTGTTCAACCTCTTGTTTCCATATCTTATTGCCAGTGAATTTCAGAACACCTTTTAGGCAGAAACTCTATCTTAGACATCTTTGGTATGCCCCACACCACATGTAGTGCAGGGCCATTAGTGGTTACTAAACTTAGGTTGGAATTAGTTCGTTATTACTTGCATGTTTGCATTTCATATAGATATGTGAATTTTTCTCTTATATTTCCTAGCATATCTTATCTTTGGTCAGTTTTTGATCAATTGACAGTTTTTATTGTACTGTTTTTAAGCGGATAACGTTTTTCCCTGAGCAGAACCTGAAATTTTGCAGTGAACCCATAGCATGTAACGTAGATAAAAGTTGCTCCATTAAAGTGGAGATGGAGGGCCTCACCTCCCCCGTCCATGGTGGTCTCTAGGCCCTGAGTCACCTCCAAAGGTCCCTGGAACTCTATCAGTTTCAGAATGATTGTGTTTCTGCTTTTTAATGCTACACTTATATAAGCACACCTTGAAGAAATTGTGGGTTCGGTTCTGCAGTAGGACAGATACTATAATAAAGTGAGTCATTTGAACTTTCTTGTTTCCCAGTGTGTATAAATGTTATTTTTATGCTATACTATAGTTTGTTATGTATGCAGTAGCATTATGTCTAAAAAAAAAATGTACACACCCTAATTAAAAAATGCTTTATTGCTTAAAAATGCTGACCGTCTCACTCTTCACCAAAGAAGGCAAGAGTAGGAGAAAAGACAGTCTCTTCAGCAAGTAGTGTTGGGACAGCTGGACAGCCACATGTAAATCAGTGAAATTAGAACACACCCTCATACTGTACACAAGAGTAATTTCAAAATGTTTTGAAGGCTTAAATATGAAACACAACACCATAAAACTCCTAGAAGAGAATGTAGGTAAAATGTACTAGTTTTCTTAAGTCAGTCTCCCAAGGCAGTAGAAATAAAAGCAAAGATAAACAAATGGGACTAATCAAACTTATGAGCTTTTGCACAGCAAGGGAAACCATAAACAAAGCAGACAGACAGCCTACAGACTAGGAGAAAATATTTCCGGGTGATGCAACCAATAAGAGCTTAATTTCCAACATCTGCAAACTGCTCATAAAACTCAATAACAAAAAACAAACAACTGGATCAATAAATAGGCCGCTGCTGCTGCTAATTCACTCCTGTCGCGTCCGACTCTGTGTGACCCCATAGGCGGCAGCCCACCAGGCTCCCCCATCCCTGGGATTCTCCAGGCAAGAATACTGGAGTGGGCTGCTATTTCCTTCTCCAGCGCATGAAAGTGAAAAGTGAAAGTGAAGCCGCTCAGTCGTGTCCGACTCTTAGCGAGCTCGTGGACTGCAGCCTACCAGGCTCCTCTGTCCATGGGATTTTCTAGGCAAGAGTACTGGAGTGGGGTGCCATTGCCTTCTCTGCAATAAATGGGCAGAAGAGCTAAATAGACATTTCCCTGAAGACATACAGATGGCCAATAGGCACATGAAAAGATGTTCAAAATGGCTGATTACTCAGTTCAGTTCAGTCGCTCAGTCATGTCCAACTCTTTGGGACCCCATGGACTGCAGCACGCCAGGCTTCCCTCTCTATCACCAACTCCCAGAGCTTGCTCAGATTCATGTCCATTGAGTTAGTGATGCCATCCAACCATCTCATCCTCTGTTGTCCCCTTCTCCTCCTGCCTTCAATCTTTCCCAGCATCAGGGTCTTTTCAGATGAGTCAGTTCTTCACATCAGGTGGCCAGAGTATTGGAGTTTCAGCTGCAGCATCAGTCCTTCCAATGCATATTTAAGACTGATTTCCTTTAGGATGGACTGGTTGGATCTCCTTGGAGTCCAAGGGGCTCTCAAGAGTCTTCTCCAACACCATAGTTCAAAAGCATCAATTCTTTGGCACTCAGCTTTCTTTATGGTCCAACTCTTATATCCATATATGACTGCTGGAAAAACGATAGCTTTGACTCTACAGACCTTTGTTGACAAAGTAATGTCTCTGCTTTTTAATATGCTGTCCAAGTTGGTCATAATTTTTCTTCCAAGGAGCAAGCATCTTTTAATTTCATCCCTGCAGTCACCATCTGCAGTGATTTTGGAGCTCAAGAAAATAAAGTCTGTCACTGTTTCCATTGTTTCCCCATCTATTTGCCATGAAGTGATGGGATGGGATGCCATGATCTTAGTATTCTTAATGTTGAATTTTAAGGCAACTTTTTCACTCTCCTTTTTCAGTTTCATCAAAAGGCTCTTTAGCTTTTCTTTGCTTTCTGCTATAAGTGTGGTGTCATTTGTTTATCTGAGGTTATTGATATTTCTCCTGGCAGTCTTGATTCCAGCTTGTGCTTCATCCTGTCCAGCGTTTCTTATGATGTACTCTGCATATAAGTTAAATAAGCAAGGTGGTAATATACAGCCTTGATGTGCTCCTTTCCTGATTTGGAACCAGTCTGTTGTTCCATGTCCAGTTCTAACTGTTGCTTCTTGACCTGCATACAGATCTTTCAGGAGGCAGATCAGTTGGTCTGGTATTCCCATCTCTTTCAGAATTTTTCACAGTTTGTTGTGATCCATGCAGTCAAAGGCTTTGGTGTAGTTAATAAAGCAGAAGTAGACATTTTTCTGGTCTTGTCTTGCTTTTTCAATGATCTAGCGGTTGTCGGCAATGTGATCTCTGGCTCCTCTGCCTTTTCTAAATCCAGCTTGAACATCTGGAAGTTCACGGTTCACATACTAATGAAGCCTGGCTTGGAGAATTTTCAGCATTACTTTGCTAGTGTGTAAGATGAGTGCAATTGTGCAGTAGTTTGAGCATTCTTTGGCATTGCCTTTCTTTGGGATTGGAATGAAAACAAACCTTTTCCAGTCCTGTGGCCACTGCTGAGTTTTCCAAATTTTCTGGCATATTGAGTGCAGCACTTTTAACAGCATCATCTTTTAGGACTTAGGATTCTAGGCTGATTATTAGAGAAATAGAAATCAAAACTAGGATGAGGTAGCACCTCACACCAATCAGAATGGCCATCATTAAAAAGTCTACAAATAACAAATGGTGGGAAGCATGTGTAGAAAAGTGAACCCTCCTACACTGTTGGTGGGAAGTAACTTGGTACAACTGCTATGGAAAACAGTATGGAGTTTCCTTAAAAAATAAAGAGTTGTCATATGATCCAGGAATCCTACTCCTGAACATATATCTAGAGAAAACTCTTACTCAAAAATGTACATGCACCCCTATGTTCATATCAGCATTATTCATAATAACCATGAACATGGAAGACATAGAAGCAACTTAAATGTCCATTGACAGATAAATGGATAAGGAAGATATAGTACATATATGCAATGGAATATTACACAGCCATAAAAAAGAATGAAATAATGTCATTTGCAGTAACATGATTGGACCTAGAGATTATCATACTAAGTGAAGTACATCAGAATGAGAAAGACAAATGCCCTATAATATAGTTTATATGTAGAATCTAAAATATGACACAAGTGAACTTATTTCCAAGTCTCACAGATATAGAAAGCAAACATGGTTACCAAAGGGTGAAGGGAGTGAGGTAGGGATAAATTAGGAGTTTTGGATTAGTAGATACAAACTATTAAATATAAAAAAGATAAACAGCGAAGTCCTACTATATTGCACAGGGAACTATATTCAATATCCTGTAACAAACCATAATGGAAAGTAACATTAAAAAGAGTATGTGTGTGTGTATATTGAACACAACTGATACACCTCAGTCACTGTGCTGTATACCAGAAACTGACAACACTGCAAACCAACTGTGCTTCAATTGAAAAAAAATGCTGACCATCATCTGGCAATGCAGGGTTGCCACAGATCTTTAATTTGTTAAAAAATTTAAAAAATGCAGTATCTGCAAAGGCAATAAAGTGAAGTACAATAAAATGAGGTATGCCTTTCATTACAAATGAGGGCTAAATGAATGAATTTGTAGTCTTTAATAATTTGAACGTAGTTGGTTCAACCGATTCATGTTTCTACATACCCCTCCCCCACTCTGTTCCCCTGGCAAATATTTTTATCTTACTCAGGTTGTTATGACTGCTTCAGTGCTACACATGAGTGGTTCCTAAGACTTGGTATAAACTCAAGATAAGTTTTATAGCTTGGTCATGCCTTGGTAGAAAAGATTTAACTAAAGCACTTTCTAATAAAACTAATTCCAGACGACTTTGAAATCTCTTCTTCGAGGCCAGGATTCTAATTATGTGATTTTCCGCAGTGTGGCCCTTGCCCAGTAAGCAGTCTGTTCCACTCCTGCTGCCCTGAGATGTCCTTTTTCTCTTCTGCTTTTCTAAGTGCATGTTAAGGTTGGATTTCATTCTTTAATGTTAGTTGTTGAAAGATACCTGGTTGTATTATTTTTACTCTTTCTACAAATAATAAAATCTTTTTCTCTTTTTGAAAAATACAGTGGATTGTCCTGTTTGTGGGGTTAATATTCCAGAAAATCACATTAATAAGCACTTAGACAGCTGTTTATCACGTGAGGAGAAGAAAGAAAGCCTCAGAAGGTAAGAAAGTGAAGCATAATTGTTGAGCCACTTTAGCCACTTTAGCTTGTGCTTTTAAAAATGTTAGCCGACTGTCCATTCTCTTTCCTTGCCAAATATAATTAACTTTACTATATGCTAATCAAATTTGACTTAATAAGAAATTCTTTTTAGAATTCAGTTCTTTTTAGGCTTATTTTCTTCTTTTAGAATTTTAGAACTACCATAAAGCCCTTGGCCCAAGAAAGCAAGGCTAGACTCTGAATATAGAACGCATCAAATCTTTTTTTGGTTCTTAGGAATCTTAGAAGTTTAAATTAGTAAAATCTAGCTTTTTCAAAAATTCTGAATACTATATACACATGATATACTGTATACACATGACATTAAATAGTACAGAAGGGTTTTTGTTTTTGTTTTTTTTTTAGAAAATACAGAATCATTTATTCATTCAACAAATACTTATTAAGCACATAAACATGTACCAGGCTCTGTTAAGATTGGTGAATGAAAATCAGATGCTCTTTCCTTAATATCCATTTTTTCTTGGAACGATGTAACTGGTAGGCTTGCATTTTGAAGGCAGTGATTTTCTCTGGTGATTGCATATGTATAAACTTGAAGTTGTATACTTTGTCTCTGGGGCAGATTCAAAAGGGAATGTGTGAAATATAGTTTGTGTGTGTATGTGTGTGTGCGCGCCCATGTCTATGTGTATGTCCCCTGCCAACTACCCAAGTGAGATATTTTCACGCTACTTTGCCTCCCTTATATATCAAAATATATATCAAATATATATATATCAAAATAGGTTATTAAACTTGATCAATATTGTTGACACATGTAAGTTAAGAATCAAATTTTAGTCACAGTTACATTGCAAGGTGTTATAGAATTTGTGGTAATGAAGATAATAAGGAAGCTGAAGCCACAAATTAGATGAGTCTGATGATGAAGGGAGACATGAGATGAGATGGAAGTTTGGGGAAGGAATAAGGAGCAAGATCAGGGAAGATTTTATTTTTTAGAATGGAAATTATACAAGCCTTTATCCTCCTCCTTTATACTATCTCCGGGGAGAGGGCAGATGATACAAGGAGCAAGAGGGCAAAAGTCCAGTAATAAAGTGTCTTTAACATGCAGAAAGAGCTTTTCTTCTGAAACAGGATGGAAAGAGGAGGGAATAGGTGATAATTCAGAGATCTAGGAAGGAGAGGGAGGAAATGGAAGAAATTAATGGGAGGTGGGAATGAACAGAATGATTGGTTGTCACGTCTAGTTTGTTTGGAAGAACTTGGAAGAGTATTTGCAAGAAACCATGCTGATAAGGCAGGACTGTTTTGTTGGGTTTTGCGTGTGTCTGTGTGTGTGTGTGTGTGTGTGTGTGTGTGTGTGTGTGTGTGATTAAAGATAAAATGGTGTCACTTAGATTTTATGAGTAAATCAGCAGTGAATGCAGGTTCTGCGGGACAAACTCTTGCTGTTGTGATTTACAAAAGCTGACATATAACGCACAGCAGTGCTTTATTGATTTACAGTGAGGGGCGTCAGTTGACAGTTCTTACTGTAGTGTTTTTAGCATGATAGTTAACCTTTTTCCTCTGAGTAGAACCTTTTTTTCAAGTGAAAATGCACAGTGAACTGTAACAGATAAAACAGATAAAATTGGCCCTGTCCATTAAAGTGGAGATGAAGGATTGTGCTGTCTCCATCCCCCATCTCTCCCTGCGTCCCTGTCTGATAGCTACTGTAGTCCTCAGCTCCCTGCGACAGATGTATGTGAGGTCTTGCATGCACAGTACTCACCCCTAGTGGGTGAGTTTGTTGATGAGAATAGATTTTTAGGCTGCCTAGTTGAGATTTGGGATAAAGAAACTGGATCATTACAAGGATTATTTCCCATAAGCAGTGAGAATCTAATGGTCTAATGAAGAATCTTTCATTCTAATTCATTTAATTTAATTAACCTTTTAATTTCTAATTTCTTTAGAAAATTCTTTTCCCCTAAAGAATGAGATGGGAATATAGAAGCTGGGCATTTTCTCTTTGAAGAGTAGGAAATCAGCACTGATAATTTTGCTTGGACTGCCCTTTTTCTAGATGCATCCATCATATTTCTTCTCACGCACTTAGCTCGTCAGTTTATCCAAAGGTATACCCATCCATGTATAATTAAGTTCAAGTTCCAGTTGTGATTCTGAGGAGCTCTGTGGAATTACTATAATCCTGCCGGTTACACTAGCGCAATTTAGGAGCACTGTTTTCTCTCTCTCTCTCTCTCTCTCAGAGGAAGCTTCACTGTATGAATTAGTGTGTTGAAGTCTTTGAGAATTCCTACATCAAACATAAGTGTTGGGTTTTGTTTAATCCAGTAATTCCTAAATTTTTTTAACCCGAAAACCTTTTTGTTCTCATAACTCATTTCGCAAAGTTCACATTTGTGAAGGTACACTTAGGGAGACATTGAACCACCTTTCTCTTTAGTGACATCCTGATCTTGGACTGTGGTCACATGAAAGAGTATATGATATTTAAAAATATTTCTCCACCACATCCCAACAGGCTGTTTCTTAATGTGGATGACAGCCCTTAACCCATCCTTTGTAGATTCATATCAGAAGTAATCAAGGAATACTTTTCCTTTTGCTGTCCTCAGATTTTGAGGACCCTTAGATTCATTACTGTTTCACCAAATCATAGAAGAAAGATCAGTGGCATTTTCATGTTTTAGGAAACATTTTTCAGACTTCATATTTAAAACAATTTTTTTAACTTTTTATTTTATATTGGCATATAGTTGATTAACAGTGTTGTAATAGTTTCTGGTGTATAGCAAAGTGATTCAGTTATGCATATACATGTATCTGTTCTTTCTCAAGTTCTTTTCCCATTTAGGTTGTTACGTAACAACTGAGCAGAGTTCCCTGTGCTGCACAGTAGGTCCTGATTGGTTATCCATTTTAAATATAGCAGTGTGTACATCATATTTTAAAATTCTTGACAGAAATTGTTGATCTCTGCTGGTGCTTTTCAATGTAAGTGCCAGTGAACAAATTGTTCTCCATTAGAATTTCACAGTCATAAGTTTAATCATGTATCCTTAATAAAATACATGTTTTAGGTACAGACTTAATGAATTGTCCTTTACAATATTCTTGTATAAACTCCTTCAAAATGTTTTTCAGGACTTGCTACCTCGTGTGATTTTTTATTCAGCTATAATACGGTAAAGAATATGCCTGCAGTGCAGGAGACCTGGCTTTGATCTCTGGGTTGGGAACATCGCCTGAAGAAGGGCATGACACCCAACTCCAGTATTTTTGCCTGCCAGAGGAGCCTGGTGGCGCTATAGTCCATGGGGTCCCAAAGAGTTGGACACGACTGTGTGACTTACGCTATACTATAGTCAGTGTTATAGAGTCCAGTAGGCAGGCTGTCATTATAAGAAGAACACTCTTCAGAAAAATGTAATCTCTTGAGGGTTTTCAGGGTTTTCTGCAGTTAAACAGTTATTTCTGACTTTTAGTCTTCATTGATGGAGCATAAAAGAACTAATCTTGCCAGGAAATGGTGGTATTGGTTAAGGGAGAAATGTTTGGTTGTCTTCAGTCTGTATTCAGCTGTTTTCTCTTGTATGGTCACTGGACCATTTGTATTAGATTTCCATGTGGAACCTTGTTAATAGAGATTTTAGATCTCCACTTAAGAGCTGAGCTGAGTCAGAATTGGTAGTTGCTGTGGCAAAGTGATTGAAAATTGCATTTTTAATAAACTCTCCAGATGGTTCTGAGATGCTTGAAAGTTTGAGCAGCATGGCCTTGTGCCCACTGCGTATATGCAAGTCCTTTGTAAAATCTTGTGGTTTTTTTGGATAAGCATATTATTTTCAAGTTTCTTTTAATTGTTACCTGAAATTTTGATATTTCATTTAAAAATGATTGCAGTTGTAGTGTCTATATTGAATACATATTTATTAAGCACCCGTAGCATTGAGTCAGGTGACGTACTCAGCTAGGTTATAATCAGATTAGATCGATTAAAATTCATCAGGGAGTTCCTGTCTATCAGATTTTCTCAAGTTGTTAATATGTTTGACTTCTGCATATTCCATTGAAAGAAGTAATGTTTATTAATTGGTTTTTTGGAGGGCATAGAAGAAAGTCATTTGATCGGGCTTTGTTATATTTATAATTGCAGCTTAGTGCTTATCATTGTGTTCATCATGAAAATACAATGAAGAGCCAGGTGGCAATTTAAAAAAATATATATTTACGGATTTTTTATTTGGCTGTGCTGGATCTTAGTTGCAGCATGCAGGATCTAGTTCCCTGACCAGGAATCAAACCTGGGCCCCCTGCACTGAGAGAGCAGAGTCTTAGCCACTGGACTGCCAGGGAAGTCCCCAGGTGGTGATTTTGCTAATACACTTTATCTTTTCTCTTTTTATTTTTTAATTGAAGGAAAAATTGCTTTACAATGTTGTAGTGGTTTCTGCCATATAACTCAAATCAGCCATAATTATACATTCATCCCCTCCCTTTTGAGCCTCGCTTCTGTCCCCCATCCCCGCTCTGGGTTGTCACAGAGCATCAGCCTGGGCTCCCTGTGTTACCTCTGCTAATACACTTTTTATAATGCCTGTGTGTTTGTTAATATAACTAATTGAAGTTGAAAAAAAAGAAAACACTGCTGTGTTTCTTGCTGTTGTTTTCAGTTGTCTTCTTTTGAAGATGATCCCACAAGAATACTATGCACACATCAACTCTCTGAATTCTTTCTTTCATCGGCATAATAAGTTTAGTAAACCTAACTATCCCAACAGGTCTTCTTTTATTTCATCTAGTGCTTTTGTAAAATGATTGATTGCCTTGGGCTTAAGAAGGCAGTTTTGCCTATGCATCAAAATTTTTTCTAAGAAAGCTGTGTATGATAATATTCTAAAATCTATAGCCTGACCCTTGATAGCATTTGTACTCTTAATTACCTGAGATAGCTAGCTTTTTATGGAGATTTTCCCTGGAAACCGTGGGCAGATTTTAGGGAAAACATGTTTTAAAGAGGTGAAGAATTGAATGATTTCATATAAGTGTGATCCTACGTTCTCATAGCATTTAGCCCATAGCCTTCTGCATGAGTCCCAAGTCTGCATCTTTAGGCCTGATCTCTGTCTGAGACCTGACTCTTCACGTATTGGCTGCCACCTAGACCATTCTGTCTGAATGTCCCACCACCACCTCAGATGCATCACTGTCATGTGAATACTGTCAACTTGATTCACAAATTTGATCCTTCTTCTCTTTTCCATTTTTATCCTAATGTTTCTACAATTCTCCCAGTCACCTTGGTATTGAGCAGAAGGTAAATTACTGTTTTACATGAAAAGCATTTGATAATTCACAGTAACCCTCAGTGATCTCTCTTTTTCTCCTTTTCAGTTCTGTTCACAAAAGGAAGCCGCTGCCTAAAACTGTATATAACTTGCTCTCAGATCGAGATTTAAAGAAAAAGCTAAAACAGCATGGATTATCTGTTCAAGGAAATAAACAGCAGCTCATTAAAAGGCACCAAGAATTTGTACACATGTACAATGCCCAGTGTGATGCTTTGCATCCTAAATCAGGTAAAGTAATAAAACAATGAATTTTATTTACCCTCTGGATAAAGCAGTTTTGTATGACTCAGGGGTTATAAACCACAGAGAAAATTTTAATGCTTTTTTTTTTTTTTAATTTATTTATTTATTTTTTTTTAATTTTTATTAGTTGGAGGCTAATTACTTTACATCATTACAGTAGATTTTTGTTATACATTGATATGAATTAGCCATGGATTTACATATTATCAGTACTGTATAGTTGGAGGAGCCTTGAGACTATTAGAAGAATAAAACTGAAATCCAGAGGCAGGAGAATTGAGCCCAAATCCTGAGAAAACCAGAAAACTCCTGACCACACGGAACATTAAGGAATAAGAGACCATCCAAAAGCTTCCATACCTACACCAAAACCAACCACCACCCAAGAGCCAATAAGCTCCAGTACAAGACATACCACGCAAATTCTTTAGCAACGCAGGAACATAGACCTGAGTGTCAACATACAGGCTCTCCAAAGTCACACCTAACACAGAGACCCATCGCAAAGCTCATTACTGGACACTCCATTGCACTCCAGAGAGAAGAAATCCAATTCCACGCACCAGAACGCTGACACAAGCTTCCCTAACCAGGAAACCTTGACAAACCAATCGTCCAACCCCACCCACTGGGTGAAACCTCCACAATAAAAAGGAACCTCAAACCACAAGAATACAGAAAGCCCACTCCAGACAGAGCAATCTAAACAAGATAATGCATTTTTGATAATAGCTAAGACGTTCAAATACACTCCTTCGGAAGATATCTAGAGTGTCCTGTGATAAGCCAACCTTTCTCTCAGCTCGTCTCTCTGTCCCCCTTCTCTTCTCAGAGGCAGCCACTGCTACCAGCTTCTCATATATATGAGGGTTGCTTGAGAGAGCATGGCCTGTAATATAATCCTAGTTTTGCAGCTTTATGACTGGGTGACTGTGGGCAAGTTACTTATATCTGACCTCAGCTTTCTCTCCTACTTAAGTAAGAGTTGTAATATTGCCTAGTGCATAGTGTTTTTGTCCAGACTAAATGATAAAATGCATGTAAAGTGCTAGCATTGTACCTTAGCAGGTAGTTAGCATGGAATAGATGTTACCATTAGATTATTAAGATTGTTATACCCAGAAATATATGTGATTATTATTATTTCGTCAAAATTTTGTTTTACAGACATACTACTTAATAGTTTGTTCTTTCCACTTAACCTCACACAAATTTTGGAGTTCTTTCAGTTATTAACATATGGATAGAATTGCCTGATGTAAAAAAAATTAAGTTATAATATATAAACAGAAAATTACACAAGTTATAAATGTATTGTTTGGTGAATCATCACAAAGTTCAGGGAAGGTGCCTTTGTAACAACTCCTCAGAGCCCTGCCAGAATCCTAGAAGGCCAGCCCACCCCTCCCAATAGTTGCTGCCTTTATCCTCACAGTTGACCATCTTCCTGACATCTAAAACCATATATTCGTTTTGCCTGTATTTTATCTTAAATATGGAATAATAAGTAGCTTATACATTCTTCTGAGTCTGGCTTTTCTACGACATTATGTTTATAAGATTTGTTCATGTTTTTGTGTACAGTTGTGATTTTTAAAAAAATTTTGTTGCTATAGCGTATTCCATTATACAAATAGGACATGTTACACAAATGTCCATGGTTGACGGATGCTTGGGTTTTTCCACTCTTTGGCTCTTAAAGAATAATGCTGTTATGAGTAATCTTTTGCAGGTCTCTTGGTAATCATAGGCACACATAGTTAGGCATTACGTATACCTACGTGTGAAATTGTTGTTTTTGCATACATTTAGCTTTCCTGGGTATAGACAGAAACCCAGGTGCCAGTGTATGCTCTCATCAGGAAGGTATGAGAATTCCAATTTTTCCACATCATTACCATCATCAGTATTGTAAGTTTTCGTTTTTGGCCATTCTAATGCGTCCATGGTAGTATCTCATTATGGTTTTAATTTTTGCTTCTCTAATGGCTTATAGTGTTCACCATATTTTTATATAATTATTGGCCATCTGGATATTCTCCTGGGTGAAATATCCATTTAAGTCTTATACCCAATTTTTCTACATTGTGGATCTATTGCTTCTTAATTTATTTCTGGGATTACATGAATTTTTCTGGAAACAGATCTTCCTGGGTGTATATTTGCTTAATCTCCTTTCATCTTTTCACTCTCTTAATGGCTTCATTTGAGAGGTAGAAATTTTAAATTTTGTATCCAATTTGTTGCATTTTTCCATCAGATACTACTTTTGCCTACCACATGATCATTTTTTTTCCCCCTAAAAGCATTATTCTTTTTGCATCTACCTTTCAGCCTACAATTTATCTGAAATTGGTTTAAGCATATGTTGCATGGTAAGAGGTGAGATTCTTTTGTTGTTTCCATATGATCAACTAATTGATGTAGCAGCATTTATTGAAAAAGCATCCTTTACACATTGAATTGTCAGTACCTCTTGTTTCAAAATCAGCTAACTGTGTTATATGTGGATCTGAACATTGTGTTGTTCCATTGGGTCATTTATTAATCCTTGTGCCACTAGTGCAGTGTCTTAATTACTTAATGAGTGTCTGGTAATGTAGTTCCTCCAGCTTTGTTGTTTATTGAGATTGTCTATTAATAGATGAGTGGTTGTATGCAAATTGTGGTGGAACCATACCATGAAACACTGCTTAGCAATAAAAATGAATGAACTACTGATAAATGCAGCAATGTGGATAAATCTCAAAAGCATTGACATACAAAAGACTACATGCTGTATACTTTAAAAACATTTATCTGGCATTTTAGAAAAGACAAAAGTTTGGGGGCATAGAAGAGATCTGTATGTCCCAGGGCTTAAGGGTAAGGAGGAGGGAACTTACTGGGCAAAAGAACTTTTGAGGGTAAAGGAAATGCTCTGGACTTTGCAATGATGAATAAATGACTACTAATAGGCAACTGGACTTGTCTCCAGTTTTTGGCTCTTCTGGGTAAAGCGGCTATGAACATGGGCTAATAGATTTGTATGTAGCCATGTGCTTTATTTCTCTTGCGTTTTCCTTTTCATTCAGTTAAAATATTTTATGATTTTTGTTGTGATCTCTTCTTTAACCCATGGATTATTTGGAAGTGTTTTCAGTTTCCAAATATCTTGAGTATTTCTCAGGTATCTTTTTTTATTCAGTTCTAATTTGACTCCATTGAAGCAGTTCTGTATGATTTGGGGCCCTTTACATTTATTGAGACTTGTTTTATAACTCAGCATTAGGTCTTCCTTGGTGAGTGTTCCTTAGGCACTTGAAAGTTTTGCTTTATTTGTTCAATGATCTCTAATGTTAATTATGTAAAGTTGCTAAGGTATTATACTCAAGTCATCTGCATCATTACTGATGCTGTGTTTAGTGATTCTGTCAGTTACTGAGAACATTATTGAATTCTCAAAGGATATTTATAGATTTTTAATTTTTCCTTTTAGTATATTCTGTTTTCTTTACATTTTTGAATGTCACCAATTAGATGCATGTGCATAGTATTGGTATGTGTTTTTGATGAATTAATCTATTATAATGAAATAGCTGCTTTAATCTCTGGTAATATTCCATGAGTAATAACCTTATTTCACTTTTTTCTTTAATATTGTGTTTAAACTATGGTTTTTGGTAAGCAGCATATGGTTTGGATCTGCTTTTTAAATTTAATTTGACAAGATATGCCATTAAATTCTGGAGTTTAAAACTTTTTCATTTCATTTAATCTGTTTGGTGGAGTTTAAGTCTACCAACTTGCTCTTTTCTATTTGTTTTGTCCATTCTTTGGTTTTTTCCCTTTATTTTCTTGCTTCTAGATTATTTTTTAGTTCTATATTTTATCTTCACTATTGATTTATTAGCTGTATCTCTGTTCTTTTAGTGATTATTCTAGAGTTTACCATTTACATCTTCAACTTATCACAGTCCACATTCAAATAACATTATGCTACGTGTGTTACAGAAGGACCTTACTCCTTCCATCCTCGGTTTTAGGTGTCTGAGGTCCTCTACTAGTGTTCAGCAGGTGCTCTGTGCAAACTGCTCCACTTGTAGATGTGTTCTTCCTGTACTTCTCGGGTAGAATGGACCCCAGATCCTCCTGTTCCACCGTCTTGACCTTGATCCATCCTGGTTTTATTGTCATAGATATTTCTTCTATGTTATAAGTCTCATTATACTTTACCATTTTTGCTTTAAACTGTCAATTTTCCTTTAAAGAGATTTTTAAAAATTGAGAAGGAAAGTCTATATGCCTACACTTTCACTGTTTGTGTTATTCTTCATTTCTTTGCTTAGAACCAGATTTCTATCTTATGTCATTTTCTTTTGGCTGAAAATCTTCATTTAATCTTTCTTGTAATGCACACGTGTTGTTGAGACAAGTTCCTTCAGCTGTTATTTGTCTGAAAGTCTTAATTTAGCATTTTAAAAAAAACTTTATTTTGAAATAATTTTGAATTTATGGGAAATTTGAAACATTATCATGAAGAACACATAGATACCCTGCACACAGATTCACCTATTAGTATTATTTTGTCCCATTTACTTTATGTATTAATGCACATGTGTTTGTGTGTGTGCTTCTTTATATACACATATTTTTCTCTTAAACCGTCTGAGAATAGGGCGTATACTCTTGTCTGCTAAATGCTTCATTGTGTATTTCCTAGAAAAAGAGATGTTCTCTTTTATTGCTGCAGTACAAGTATCAACTTTTCATCTCTATTCTAGTTTCAGCAGTCGACCCAATAATGGCCTTTATAGATTGTTTTCCCCCTCCAGTACAAGATCCAGTTTTGAATCACAATATTAAATTTAGTTGTAATGTCCTTTCAATCTCTTTCGTTCTGGAACAATTCCTAAGCCTTGCTTGTTCTTTTATGACATTGGCATTTTAAAAGAATACAGTCTTTGTTATTGTTGAATTTTTTCCCAAATAGAATGTTTCTCATTTTGGCTTTGCCCTGTGTTTTGTTATAATTACATTCAGGTTGGCATTTGTGGCCAGAATACTATATAAGTGATGTTTTGTCCTTCTCAGAACATCTCATCTAGAGGTATTTGACATCTTTGTGCCCTTCATTTGTGATGGCAGTTTTGATCACCTTGTCAGTGTCTTCATTGTGTAGTTTCCTCCTTTACTCCTAGTAAGAAATCTGAACACTTTCCTCTAAACAGACCATTATCTTTTATAGTAGTTAAGAGTCAGTTCATTTCAGTTCAGTCATTCAGTCGTGTCCAACTCTTTGTGACCCCTTGGACTACATGTAGCATGCCAGGCTTCCCTGTCTTATCACCAACTCCTAGAGATTGCTCAAACTCATGTCCATCGAGTTGGTGATGCCGTCCAACCATCTCATCCTCTCTTGTCCTCCTCTTCTCTTGCCTTCAGTCTTTCCCAGCATTAGGGTCTTTTCCAGTGAGTCAGTTCTTCTCATCAAGTGGCCAGAGTATTGGAGTTGAAAATAAGAAAAATATATTTCATATTTACCTTCATTTTTACCATTTCTAGCACTTTGTTTCTTCTTATAGAGATGAATTTCTGGTTTTATATTTCTTCTGCTTGAAAAACGTCTTTTAACTCTTAATGTGGTACAGGTCTGCTAATAATATATTCTCTTAGTTTTTGTTTGTCTCAGTTTTTATTTCTCTTTTACTTCTAAATTATTTCCATTGACATAGAATTCTGGGTCGCTGGGTTCTTACCCACTCCCAGCACTTCAAATTTTTCAGTCCATTTTCTTCCGGCTTGAATAGTTTTTGATGAGAAACATGATGTAATACTTGGCCTTTTTTTTTTTTTTTGTATAGTAAATCCCTTTTTCTGACTGGCTGCAGGATTTTCTCTGTCTATATTGTTGTGTTTTGTTTTGTTATTTTTTGTTGTTGTTTATTTTGCTTTATATGCTTTGAGCTTGTTGCATTTGTGTTTTGATGTCTTCATTATACTTAGCAGATTCTGGCCATTAGGTCTTCAAATATTTCTTCTCCCTTTTTTATTATGGGATTTCTATTACATGTTTATTAGACCATTTGATATTGTCCCTCAGCTTTTAGATACTCTCTCCCTTTTTTCTGTTTCAGTTTGGGTAATACCATCAATCTCATTTTCAAGTTCACCAATTCTTTCCTTAGCTGGGTCAAGTTATGTCTGTTAATTTTTTTTTATTTCTAACATTTCTATTTTATTCTTCTTGATGGTGTCATCTCTCTCCTGAAATGACCCATCTGTTAATGCATGTTGTTCATCTTTTCCACTAGATATTTTAGCATATTATCATAGTTATTTTAAATTTCATGGCTGGTAGCTCTAAAATCTGGATGATATCTGAGTTTTATTTTGTTATTGTTATTTGCTTGCTTGTTCATAGATCTTGTAAACTTTGCTTAAAAGCAGACAGTATTTGAGATGCTAAATACTGAAGTAAATAATGTGAATGACTGAAAAATGGTCTTGTCCCCTCTTCTGCTAGGACTTTACTGTGTGTGGTTGATTGGTTTGGGTTTTTTGTTGCTGTAGCTATCTATAGTTGACCACCAGTTTCATATCTCCTGTGCTTAGGTTGGTGCCTGAGTTACTAGAAGTTTGTTTTTAAAATGCTCCTGTCTCACTTGCACTTAGGTTTTCCCTGTGTACCCATACCTGAAAAAGTCTCTTTGCATGCTCACTTCTCCCCCAGTGGCTGATCACAGCTGCTTGTCGCATGGAGTGCCCTGGCTTCATAGTAGGGAGCATGAGGTTGTTCTAGCTTAGCCTGTGTCTTAAGGCCCTTGATCCTGGGTCTCTGTGGGGCTCAGTGACCCTGTGCCTCCCCAGGTGGCCAGGGCCCTCTAGTGATCTGGGCCGCGGTTTCCTGACCTCTCCGCCCGAGTAGAGGGTTTTGTTTCCTGTCTCCATCTACCTGTGCTCTGGGGTCTTCAGTTTTGTTGACCTTCCCTCAGTGGCTTAACGGTTTTGTTTCCTAAGGTTAGAGGAATGGGGCTTCATGTCCTTCCTGCAGTGGAGGCTGTTCTCCTTTCCCAGGCCTGGACATGGAGGGATACTTTTTCTGATTCTCACCCTTCCTTCAGTAGTTCTTGAGAATACCCAGTAAAGTCTATAGAAAATAACCTTGAATTTGGTGTGAGCCCTGCATCTCAGCTTCCCAGGATTTTACACAGTTACGATGGTTCACCCTTGGCCTTTTACAATCCGTCAGGGAGGTTATCTGAAATCTGCTTACCCAGCAGTTGGATGATCTTTGTTTTTATTCTGTCAGCCAATACTCATGACCCTCCCCTCAAAGGCATCTGACTTTCCTTAGACTTCAGGCTAGTTGGTTTCTCTGTGAACTTAGCTCTGATGGATTCAAGACGAGTTACAGTTTTATAAGTTATTCAGGCTTTTCTTGTTACTAGGGTGTGAGTGACACTATATCCAGGTTTTATATCATAAACAGAATCAGAAGTCCCCCTGAAAGATTTAAGCTCTTGAGTTGCATCTAGTCCTAATACAGTCTCCTTAATATCTTAGAAGAGAATATATGCCAGATGTTCTCTATCTTGAGTGATACTTGGGTGAGTGGATTGGGCGGAATGCAAGTGGTAGCTTTGCTTTTCTGTTATACCATGATTCAGTAAATTTATGTTAGCTGTTCAGCTCATAGAGATTGTTTACATTGTTTCTACTGGTTTTAATGATATTGGGGAGGCAAGGGGTACCTCTCAGTCCTTGAAAAATAAACTTTGAATTGAGGTAATTGCATTCTTAAATGATCCTCTCAAGGACTGTGAGTTTTGTAAGAAACTTTTTAAATAGGGATTTTGTATAAATTTATATAGAATTTAAATTCTTACAGTGAAGACTGTGATGATTTCCCCTGTTTACCAGTTATCCAGCTTAAACAGTGTCAACCATGCCTAATGGTGTGTTGTCCGTCATTTACACTCCTTTCTAGGCATAGTATCCTTTTATGTATAAATGTGTGTGTGTCAGGGCTTGTGGTTTTTTCTCCTACACTATATGTATGTTAGCCTTAATATGTTGGCCTAGTAGGCAGAAAGTATCACTGGTAAATTTCATGGTATTTGCAGTCAAAGGTATTTACATATGAGATGGAGCATATTCCAGATCTCTTTGATGTATATGATTGGTAACTATACCTACTGATAAAAATTCTGGAGTCTGGTTCATTTCCCTTCCTGCTATTTATAGACCTTTGACTTTCTTTGAAAAGTAGCTTCTTTTAACGTTTTGTACATTGGCATTAGAGTGGATATCCCCTAAGAATAGAATTCACACTAACAGATTAATTTTCATATTCCATTGGTAACTTAAAGGAAAGAGCAAAATGACTTTGCTGTCTCTTCTGGTTATTTTTTAAACTGTAATTGCATGTGTAAGAGTTAAATGTTTTAACTATGTTCTTTTTTTTTTTTTCCCCTTTTATTTTGAAATAACTTTAGACTTAAAAAAAATATTTAGAAAGACCAAACTGGGAGTTCACATATACCCATCATCTAGCTTCAGTGTTAATAGTTCGTATAACCAGAGTACATTGAGCAATGTCATGTAATTAATGTTGGCTATATGTCCTTGTTTTAACAGCTGCTGAAATAGTTCAAGAAATTGAAAATATGGAGAAGACTCGGATGCGTTTTGAAGCTAGTAAACTCAATGAAAGTGTATGTTGATGGTCTTTTTAAGCGTCTTGGTAGAAATGAAGGAAAGAAAAAAGTTGAATACCCTACAATTAAAGCAAACTGGTATTGAATCTGTTCAGTGGGAAATGTACTAGAAAACTTTTCCATTTAATGTATTATGATTTACTTGCAGCTCATTTTTAGTACAAAATTCTATTGTATCTAGCAGTCTTCTGGCACAAAATCAATCCAAAGTAGAGTTTATTAGTGAATTATAGTTTTTTGGGAAAGTCATGTGCCTGTACATCAGGTAACCTTGGTATTGACCCTTTCTCTGGCAGTTGCATTTAATAAGCTGTTTACCATTTAGCCTGTGTGGCCCTTGGTATCTTCATCTGTAAGACTCAGGGGTTGAACTGTATGGTTTCTGAGATCCCCTTTTAGCTCTGGCATTCTGCAATTCTTTGATTATACTGGTTGAGAAGTTAAGTAATTGCAAGAGTTGACGAGGATTGAGCATCTGTTGAGCTTGTTGAGGGAATCAGAGACCTAAATTCCTTCGCTATTGCCTTCCTCTAGCTTGATGGTCCAAAACTTGAGGAAAGGGTACCAAAGAAGAAAATAGTCACTGTGGGGGAAGTGTTTTGGGCTCTCCCATGTAGACATTTTCTAGGCCATCGGTTGCATGTTTGTAAGGAAAGCAACAACTTTAGGCAAGTAAGTTTATAATCAGATAGGAAAAAAATGAGATTGTTGTTGATTTCGTTATTACCCATGTGCTGACTATAAGATGGAGACTATAATGAATTGTGTCAGTACGTTTCTGATCTTTGAAGTTTAATATTTTAAAAAGTGAACTAGAAATTTAACATATGAAGTCTTGTATTGCATTTTCTCTATATATTACCTTTGTGATAGACTTGGGAGTTAGATTGGGAAAAGATAGAAGACAAACAGAGAGATGTGCCTTATTAATGACCTGCTAAATGTCTATTCAGTCTTGTGTAACCTGTTGTACTAATGAATGTGAAAAATTAAATATTGAACATAGGAAGCTTAATTGATTTTTGTGTTAATACTTTATATATTCTAATAGAATCAGTGTTGCATTTTCTACTGATGTAAGTAAAACATATATTAATTACAGTATTAAAAGAAGTAAATAGGAGTTAATCTTCTTGGTCTATATAAAACAGGGATGAGAGATTATTTTCCTCAAGTTTAAACATCCATATTAGAGACTTAAGTTTATTGTACTAATTTCTTTTTTTGTCATTTTTAAAAATTTTTAATTAAGAATATTTCATTATTTTAGATAATGGTTTTTACAAAGGACCAAACAGAAAAGGAAATAGATGAAATTCACAGTAAATATCGTAAGTTATATGATACTTTCTTTATTTGCAAAAGACTTGACTTGCAGTTTTCCATCTTAAGTAATTTTTTAAAAATATGTTTTGCGTATTAATGTTCAGTGCAAACTTTCTTGTTAATATTATGTAAGAGACTGACTTTTGGTTGAGTGTTTACTCAGACAGTGACTTGTTTTTTTTGCAAGTATGTGCCTGCTCTTTTCTTTTTTTGATGAGTTACAAATTTTGTTTTGTTTTTTTAGTTTATATTTTTATTGAAGGATAATTCCTTTGCAGAATTTTGCTGTTTTCTGTCAAACCTGAACATGAATCAGCCATAGGTATACATATACCCCCTCCCTTCTGAACCTCCCTCCCATCTCCCTCCCCTCCCACCCCTCTAGGTTGATACAGAGCCCCTGTGTGAGTTTCCTGAGCCAGACAGCAAATTCCCATTGGCTATCTATTTTACATGTAGTAATGTAAGTTTCCATGTTACTCTTTCCATACATCTCACCCTCTCCTCCCCTCTCCCTGTGTCCATAAATCTATTCTCTATGTCTGTTTCTCCACTGCTGCCCTGTAAATAAATTCTTCTGAACCATTTTTCTTGATTCCATATATGTGTGTTAGAATATGATATTTATCTTTCTCTTTCTGACTCACTTCACTCTGTATTATAGGTTTTAGGTTCATCCACCTCATCAGAACTGACTCAAATGCATTCCTTTTTATGGCTGAGTAATATTCCAATGTGTATATGTACCACAACTTCTTTATCCATTCATCTGTCAGTGGGCATCTAGGTTGCTTCCATGTTCTAGCTGTTGTAAATAGTGCTGCAATGAACAATGGGATACATGTGTCTTTTGCAATCCTGGTTTCCGCAGGGTATATGCCTACAAGTGGGATTGCTGGATCGTATGGTGATTTTATTCCTAGTTTTTAAAGGAATTTCCATACCGTCTTCCATAGTGGCTGTATCAATTTACATTCCCACCAACAGTGCAAGAGCAGTCCCTTTTCTCCACCCTCTGCAGCATTTGTTGCTTGCAGACTTTTTGATGATGGCCATTCTGACCGGTGTGAGGTGATATCTCATTGTGGTTTTGATTTGCATTTCTGTAATAATGATCAGTGTTGAGCATCTTTTCAGGTGTTTGTTAGCCATCTGTATGTCTTTGGAGAGGTGTCTGTTTAGGCCTTTTTCCCACTTTTTGATTGGATTGTTTGTTTTCCTGGTATTGAGTTGTATGAGCTGCTTGTATATTTTGGAAATTAATCCTTTGTCAGTTGTTTCATTTGCCATTATTTTCTCCCATTCTGAGGTTTATCTTTTCACCTTGCTTATAGTTTCCTTTGCTGTGCAAATGTTTTTAAGTTTAATCAGGTCCCACTTGTTTACTTTTGTTTTTATTTCCATTAATCTAGGAGGTGGGTCATAGAGGACCTTGCTTTGATTTATGTCATCGAGTGTTCTACCTATGTTTTCCTCTAAGAGTTTTATAGTTCCTGGTCTTACATTTAGGTCTTTAATTCATTTTGAATTTATCTTTGTGTGTGGTGTTAGGAAGTGTTCTAATTTCATTCTTTTACATGCAGCTGTCCAGGTTTCCTAGCACCATTTATTGAAGAGGCTGTCTTTGCCCCACTGTATATTCTTGCCTCCTTTGTCAAAGATAAGGTCCCCATAGGTGCATGGGTTTATTTCTGGGCTTTCTGTCTTGTTCCATTGGTCTGTGTTTCTGTTTTTGTGCCAGTGCCATACTGTCCTGATGACTGTAGCTTTGTAGTGTAGTCTGGAGTCAGGAAGGCTGATTCCTCCAGCTCCACTCTTCTTTCTCAAGACTGCTTTGGCTATTCTGGGTCTTTTGTGTTTCCATATGAATTGTGAATTTTTTGTTCTAGTTCTGTGAAAAATGCCATTGGTAATTTGATAGGGATATCACATTGAATCTGTAGATTGGGTTTGGTAGTATAGTCATTTTCATAATATTGATTCTTCCTACTCAGGAACATGGAATATCTCCCCATCTGTTTATGTCCTCTTTGATTTCTTTTTTAATTAGTGTCTTATAATTTTCTGTGCAGTTCTTTTGTCTCCTTAGGTGAGTTTATTCTTAGATATTTAATTCTTTTTGTTCCAAAGGTGAATGGGATTGATTCCTTAATTTCTCTTTCTGATTTTTCATTGTTAGTTCATAGAAATGCAAGTGATTTCTGTGTATTGATTTTGTATCCTGCAACTTTGCTAAATTCACTGATTAGCTCTAGTAATTTTCTGATACTACCTTTAGGGTGTTCTATGTTGAGTATCATGTCATCTGCAAAACATGAGAGCTTTACTTCTTCTTTTCCTATCTGGATTCCTTTTCTTTCTCTTTCTTCTCTGACTGCTGTAGCTAGGACTTCCATGTTGAATAATAGTGGTGAAAGTGGACACCCTTGTCTTGTTCCTGATCTTAGAGGAAATGCTTTCAGTTTCTCACCATTGAGAATAACTTTGCTGTAGGCTTATCATATATGGCCTTTACTATGTTGAGGTAGGTTCCTTCTATGCCCATTTTTTGAAGAGTTTTAGTCATAAATGGGTGCTAAATTTTGTCAAATGTGCCTGCTCTTTGATCTGTGACTCACATTATACTTTGAGCTCATCACTAAGCATCTTGCAAATATTAATTAGTTGCTCTCAAAGCATCTCTGTGAGAAGAAAAATGGGATTCAAATGGAAACATTCCTGACTCGCCATCCTGTCCTCAGGCCACTCAGTGACAATGTTTCTGTAAAGAATTACAGTACTTTGTAGCTTGCAAATTTGTGCCAAAAATAGTTTTCATTTTATTCATTATTACCAGCTTCCCAACTTTATCACTTCATTTTCCTTAAAGATGTTTCTATGTATCTTTCCCAGTGCGAGCACATTACTGTTTTGTCAGTTAGGTAGCTGTTTATTCTTTGGTTGTTTGGTTGGTTTCCAATTTAAATTTACATTTAAAGTGCCCGGCCAATGGTGGAGAGTTAGTATTTGCTGATTGAGTGTCCCACAAATGGAATGTCTTAGTTGTGCTGAGAGAACTTTGTTCTATTTTTTCACTTTTTAAGCTTTGAAGGGACAGATCCAACTGTCATCTGTGGGAAGGGAGGATTAAGTGCCCAGGTACCAGATATGAGCACATTACTGTTTTGTCAATTAGGTAGCTGTACCTGTGTACACGGGTACAATAGTTGGGTGGTTCGAGCCTTCCCAGAGTGGGGAAAGTTGTCTGGAGGAGTCACAGGCCAGAGGGTGAACCCCAAGAGGCACAGGTCTGTTGCTCTAATGATAAACAGGTGTGATCAATCTTCTTTGATCAGCCTTTGGGAAGCAAAGTAATTTTTCTTGATACTGGAGCTAGACAATATCAGATGATCACTGAAGCAGCAAAACTAAAGCCTGTAACAATAAGGGCATCAGAAAATTTGTACAGTACAAAAATAAGTCACTAAAGAATGGCATCTAGCAATTTATGCTACACTAAAGAAAATGTGGGTCAAATACGAACAAGAAAATATACAAATATCTATTGCCCACCATTTCAGTATCTTTAAAAAGTTTAATATTACTAAATAGGTCATGTTAAATTAATTCACTTAGCTCTAAAGTAAACCTCAGTATATACTTAAAAAAAAAATTTAAAAAACCTTTGGGGCACTTCCTAAAGCTAAAGTGCTTATTATCATTATAGTTTTAGTCAGTTTCATTTAGTATCAGAATCTAAATATGCCATTGATAGCTCTTCTTGATAGATCACATTTCTATAAGGCTTATATAAAAAAAAAATGCCTCCTCCACCACCAACCTGTCTCTATTTCCATTTCCTTGAATTAACAACTGTCAAACCTTTGGGCTTTTGTTTTAATAATTACCTTCATTTTTATAAAAGATTATTCTTTCTACTATTTCTTGGAGAACTTTTCAGTTTTCCATGTTAACAATTGATTGAAGTCCTAATTTGAAAAATGAAAGTTTAGCTCCATTTTACTTTGTGATTCTTCGCCTTCCTCTCAATCTCTGAATATTGTCCTAATTTTGAATCAGGCAGCATACATACTGTGGTTATGAAGGGTAGCAGAATATGCCACTTCCCAAGAATGTGTCACTGTGGCATCTTTCTTTGAGGAGAAGGCATTTGTGAAGCAGCAGAAAGAAAACCTCTCTGCCTCCCCTCCGTTTGGCTCAGATGGTAAAAAATCCACCTGCGGTGCAGGAGACCTGAGTTCCATCCCAGGGTTGGGAAGATCGCCTAGAGGAGAGCATGGCAACCCACTCCAGTATTCTTGCCTGGAGAATCCCCATGGATGGAGGAGCCTGGGGGGACTACAGTCCATGGGGTTGCACAGAGTCAGACACAACTGAAGTGACTTAGCACAGCACAGCACAAAGGTGTCTGTCCCTCCTCCCCTCTCTGTCCCTAGAAGTAAGTTAGTTTCCTGTTGATGGAGAAGGCTTGGACTTAAATCAGCATAACAGATTTCACTCTTGGTTACTGTGTTTTTCCTTGCCATCGCCCCATATCTGGCCTCCCCCATACCTTTCTTTTCTTTTTTTTTCAAATCTAGCTGAAGATGATATTTAAGCCAGTGTTGTAAATCACCTCTGAGTGGCTTAAGAGTTTTTCTCTGGGTGTCTTCCATAAATACATGAGGTATGCATGTTAATAGGTATCTGTTTTATTTTTCTTATACAAGTTTGTCTTTTGTTATAACGTCCCTGCTAACTACTGAGAACATTAAAGGGAAAATTATTTTTTCCGTCCTTACACTTGAAATTCTTTTCAGGAAAATGTTCTGCTTTTCCTATAATTCACCATTTCATGTGCCTAGTTTTCTATTTATCTGGTATTAATTTATCTCTAAACTTTCCATCAGAAATGTGAATCACTTTACAGTGAACCTCATAGATAGTTTATCAGCTCACTTTTATCTCCGGAGCCTCTTGCCTGAAGCAACCTGAGTTCTTTTCCAGTCCACTGTGGCTGCTGTCT